CTTCTGGAGGGAAGACAATGAGGGGCCCAAGAGCCAGAAACAAGGCCCAGGTCCGAACCCGGGACGGAAACAGAAGGTAAAACCTCCAGATCACCAGGAAACCAAACCCAGCGATCTGGAAAGAACCATCCCCTGGCGAGCAGACAAGCGGACTGACTGGGAGCCCACTCCAGCCAGTCGTCGAGGTAGGCCAGACACCGAATCTCAGACGCAGACAGGGCACTAAGATCCGGTAAAGATGCAAAGAGTATACAAAGTGCCCTTCACAAAATAGGGAATGCAATAAAAACAGCAAACCTGAAGCCCCACCATCAAAGCATTGTATGACAACCATATGAAGACATTATGACATATGACAATCATTATATGACAATATGACAAGTATAATCAAGGCATTATATGACAAAGTGCCGGGAAGAGGGGACACCACGAGAGTAGGCCACATCCTGTAACTACACAGAGGTAAGTACACATAGGGAATTACCAACCGTGCTAGCCCCAGAAAAACTGGAGAGGAACGTGCCAAGAAGTGACCTGGAGGTCCAGGTCCACCATCCATGCACCCGGCCCTAACAGAATCCGAACAGGAGACAACAGTCCTCCGAGCAGGGCAGAGGATCCAGGGCGCAGACGGAAGTAGTCCAGAAGAACTGCAGACTGGAAAAACTCATGACTGCAAAGAGCAGACGGGAAAAGCTCATGACTGCAAAGAGCAGACGGGAAGCCCAGAAGGATGGGGCGGATCGACCACGCCCCACGCACCCACGAAGAGGAAATGACGAAGCGCAGGGAAGAAGCCACCCCGCCAGCTCTGAACCCCCCCCAAGGGGGAGAAGCCGTCCTCCGACGCCAGCAGAGGCCGGAAGACAACCCAAAGCGCCCACCAACAGCGGGACCAAGCGAGAGGCAACAGAGCAAGCTGCTCCCCCAGCGCCCAGTCAACAGAGAAGGGAACAGAACCCCTTCAGAAAGAAAAAGTACACTACCGAAGTCATGAGGAGAGACTACGGGAATGAAACCACACTTCGCTGGAAGAGGAAGTGAGGTGAGACCTGATCACCACATACAAGATACCCAAGGAAATCGACAGGGTTGAGAAGGACAGGCTATGTAACACAAGGGGCACACGCACTAGGGGACACAGGTGGAAACTGAGTACCCAAAAGAGCCACAGATAGAATTAATTTTTTTTTTTTTTTTTTTTTTTTTTTTTTTTTTTTTTGGTGAGTGTCAGAATGGGAACGGGAAAGCACTAAGAAGTAATGTGGCGACTCCTCACACAAGGAACGAGGCTGACCCCCATACAATGTCACATGTAGACATGACAGAGCCCAAGAGGCACAGGAACCGATACACCTGTTGACGGACGGTTGAGAGGCAGGACCAAGGAGCCAGAGCTCAACCCCCACAAGCACAACTAGGTGAGGACATACATTGTAAAAGCACAAGCCGCCGACTAGTGGCAGAGAGCACTACGCCGGCCAGGCAAAGAAGGCACAAAACTGCATCAAAAGGCCCACCTCGACAGCAAAACCACAAAGTCCCAGCACAACCACAACATGTGCCAAGACCCAAAAAGCTCAGTCTGCAAGCCAGGAAGACCCCGGAACCCCAAAAGGCAGAACCGGGTCACACGAGGAAACAAAGTCCCCTGAACCCACAAAAGGGGGCCCAAGAGGAAGAAACCTCCAGAACGAAACCAAGGAACCCAAAGGAACCCAGAATCGAACCAGGGGGAGCCCAAACCACCACATTTGCCGGCGGAGAACACCACTAAAAGGCAAAGCACAGACCCCAGCAGAACGCCCTGGGAAAACGGTCCCAACAGACCGAAAACCGAGGGGCAAGGTGTGGGAGCAAGCATACCAGCCAGGGGCACTGAGCCTAAACCCAGAGGCTCAGACCCAAAATCAACACCCAAACGTTCCCAGAGGAACAGGCAACGGCAAGAAAACACCAGAAAAACAAAGAAACGACAACAGGAGAACAAAAACCCTGCAAATTTTTTGAAAACTCACCAGAGACGCTCGCTCGCACACCCAGACGCATGTAAACAAACGGCAACGCCGCCCTGGTGGCAACGCCGCCCTGGTGGCCACGCCGGGAAACCGGCAGACGAAAATGGCCGCCAGCAGGGGCTGTGACTGACGCTTAATACACAAAAACACGCCAGCAAATGTGGGAAGCTAGCAGACTGGAAGGGCGAAAAACGACGCCCAACAGCAGAAAAACCCCTGAAGGGGCAAAACCGCCCCAGAACTGCTAGTAGGCATCCCCCACAGCCCCGGGAACCAACAACAGAGGCCCCGGGGCAGAGCCGTCCTCCAAGCCCTCCGCCCTGAAAGAAAAGCAAGAGCCCATGGGGAAGGCAACAAGAAAGGGCCGCTGGTAAGACCCAGAAGCCTTGGCAGGAGGCACAGGCTCAAACCTCCGTCCCCAACCCGAACGGGGCATCCCCCGAAAACCGCCCGAGTCTCTGCCGCAACTGAACCCCGCCCCGACCCAGAAACACGCAGACGGTCCGGAGCCGGGAACATGGAGAGAAAGGGGCGAGCAGCACCTAACCAAACGGGGCGGCCACGGGGCATTCGAGTGGGAAACCAACCTAGCATGTTGCAGCAACCTAACCTAGCTTGCAACACGGATGCCGCCTGTACTCTGAACAGTAATAACATCAGGAGAGTACTGGAGAACAAGCAGAGAATCACTCGCAAGACTCCGGGTCAAGGTGTCAGTGACCCAACAGGCAGCATGACGGAGGTAAAAATGGCGACTGTCACCCGGAGACAAGGGAACAGCAACCAACGATCCCGTACAAGACGGGTTGGAACCCGGAAGACACATTCAATGGTCCCCCGAGCCCAGACAGGGGTTTCCAGGGCCCGTAGGGTAACAACTACGGGAAGCCCGGGCAAGGTGTTGCTAACCGGTTAAGAAACCCAAACATAACAAGAGGGTAGATTATAGCACTGAAAACCCCCGAGACGTGTACAAGCACGGGGGCCTAGCAGAGGGCCGCCAAACACTACCAGTGGAACTATAACCACCTTAGGCAGACCCCCACCAGGCAAGAAAAAGAAAAACAAAAGAAAAACCCCGCAAAAGTACACCGTCTCCAGAGGCAACAGAAACCGGCCGCCGCTTAGGTGGCAGGCTGCGCAACACCTTGACGCCCTAACCAGCACAATACCAATCCCTACCCAGGGCCAAACAAGGGCCCCAAGCCCCAGCTGGCCCCAAGGGCGAGGCAAATGCCGAGCAGCAAGAACCTCTACGGGAATGGTTCCCGAACGCCCCAGGGAAGATAACCCTGTAACGCAAGGGCAGTACTCACAGGGCGCTTAGGGAAGTCAGCCACTAAGCACATGCAAAACACCACAAAAACGGAATTTCTTATAGGCGTCATTGTCACTAAGCAGGCGGCTGTAATAAACTGAGGCAGGTTGACCCGCGTGACCGGGAACCACACGTTCGGTCGACCCAAACGTGTACCAACAAATATCGTTAGTCGAGTCGCATTTTTCGATCAAATTTACATCATAACTCGAAATTATCGTAAGTCGGGGCAATCTTAAGTCAAGGTGCCACTGTATATACATTCTCTTAAAATTAATTTTCATTAAAAATAGTGATTCAAAATTTATATACTGTATTACATACGTCATTTAGTTATTTTCTTCACTGATAAATAGCATCATGTAATGACTAACCAACCAGAATTGTTCAATACACAAATAGTCAAAAGCAGACATCATATCATAAGACAAAGATAATCCATGAATTAAAAATGTAGTACTGTACAGTAACAAAACTAGTACTGTTTATAATAGTGGAATAACAGTTTACATAATTTAACTATGGGTAAAACATTTAATGGACTCAAAACTGTAATGAAAGCCTTGACAAACTGCAGTCAAAAGTGACAGATGGTCATTGTACCATTGTTACATTTACTTGGGATATCCTCATTATATTATGAATGCGTCATAATTTTTAAATTATTAACTGTAATATATTGAATGTTAAGCCAGCACTGAAAAGTCCTAGATATTTACGTCGGTTACTCTTACGTCTGAAAACTGAAAATAACACTATACTGTACAGTAGTTGACAATGCAACTGAAAGAGCATTACAGATTACATTTTGTACCAATGTGGATAAGTCCTTCTCCATTAGGAGCATTTTATTAAAAAAATATTATGCACCATAATCTTTGAAAATTTATTTTTAACACTTTCGCACGGGCATGACGCAGCATTGCGTCATCCGTTTACTGTCGGTAATGCCGGAGATGACGCAGCATTGCGTCATCCACTTTAAATAATCGCCAAAAATCAGGTTTTTATCCGATTTTTTGGGGACTGGTTTTAAAATGCGCGCCGATGTCTTCCCATTTTCTTTGTTGTGCCTCGTGGCCCTCAGGTGGCTTGGCACACGCCGTGGGCCCATTGTTTTCGCTCCACTGTTGTGACCAATGTCGCCTCCCCTTGCATCTCAAACGTGTGAACATTTCGGCTATTTTCCGTGGCTATATTTCTTACTGCGGCTTTAGAAACTATCTACGCTTACTCCACGATGGATAGTGATCATGAACAAGGCCCTTCCAGGAAGAAAATTGCGAAAGAAAGGCTTGAAATGGGCGGGAATTGGGAGTGTAGCTGGAAGGCATCTGAGCGCTCAATTGCGGCTAACGCGTGGCCCGTCTTCAACTCGTCGGCGGTTGGAGCGTGACCAGGTTTTTTATTTTATATGCTAATGTTCCTCTAGAGAATTCTATTGCGAACCCATTGACACCAAAATGAAAGACCTAGGACAAAAATTGAGGTGACCAGAGTGAAAATAGTGAAAACATTTTATCGCGTTTGCGCGCTCCTGGGTAACTCGTTCGAACTTTCTGTTTGCTGCGGGTAATTAGCCAGGCTTTTGGAGTTTATATGCGTTTAGTGCTGTAGAGAATTCTATTGCGAACACAATGATACAAAATTTAATCTCGTAGGATGAGAATTAAGGTGACAAAGTTGAAGAGAGTATACACTTTTCAGAATTTACATGCGCTCCCGTGACACCCTGGGTCTCATATCGCACAGTTGAGGGGTGGCGCGCGGGGTACGCCAAAGTGTTAATTACATAAAACCCAGCCTCACAGCAACTAACAATAACCTCTTGATTACTTTATTCTGTGAGCAGTGGCATCTACAACAAGACCACCAACCAGGAGACCTGGTCAGAGACCAGGCTGTAGGAATGTTCACCTTCAGAGCCACCTCAAAGATAAGACAAGACATTAATGAGCACTAAAACATGTTTATAAAAGTATTAAAATCATGTGAAGTATTACATATGCAAAATAAATGATTCTAAACAAATACAACATTCAAATATTGTACACTCTTCTATATAAATTACAGGGTAAGTATTGAATATGTAAATGTTCAATATAGTGTGTTTATTTCAATATATTCAAATTTGTTCCTAATATAAAGAGAAATGTGTAAATAATATCAGATCTCATTAATATTTCTTATGCCACACAATAAGAAAAAGAACAATACAGTCAAAGTGTCAAGATTCTCAAAATAGCACTCTCAAAGTAATGATCTGTTTGTCATATCATCGGTCTTTGCCTCTATCAGTAACTCTGTGCAGACTTTAAGAGCCTTTAGGATGTCACATATACATTCCTTCATTCTTCATGAGCCCCAAAGAGTTCGACTCTGTCCAGCTAAATAAATATGTTCATCTTGCAAGTCTTCGTCCAAATTTGTAATGTCAGGACCTAAATCGTCCACTTCTATCTCCTTCTCAAACATTTTTTGTAAAAGAACTTCAACACTTTTCAACCCTGAAAAAGAACAGAAATAAGTTAAAAAACCAGCATTGAATGTAATGAAACGGCATTTTCTGGCGAGTCCTGGAGGCTCCCCCTGAGCTATCAAGGCTGATAAGACTATCCCTAACTTTGGCATCAGTCGATATGGGTGGAGTTCTAGGCCTACCTGAGAACACGAGCCAGAACCTGGCCCCCTTCAGAGAGGCATGAGGAGCAATGACCTTTAGAAATGCACATGTGATGTAGGAGCATTCTATATCTGCCATCGACCGGGACAGGCACCCAGAAAGGTAAGCGCCCCAAAACAACCCCTGTTCTGGTTAAAATGACGAAAATAGACAAACGAGTGGACAGAACTCCCCAATTGAAAACGAGCAAATGAGCATGACGTCACATGAGCCACATGTCCGTGCAGCTCCCCCCACCCTGGGAGGGGAAAGGGGGAGCCCCAGATCCCTGCACTGGCAATCCACACCCCCAGTTCTGAGGCTGGATATCAAAATATATGAAAACTGCCGACCGGAGGGAGGGAGAGATGCCGGGAGCCTCCGGGACTTACCCAGAAAATGGTGTTTCATTACATTCAATGCTGGTTTTCTGGGGGGCGCCCCTACGGCTCCCCGGAGCTATTTCACCAAAGACGAAAAAGAAAAGGGGACTTACCTGGATGGTGGTCAGTGCTCACATCTCAACTCGAAGTCGAGACAACGGGCTGCAACTGCCGACCCAAAGCGATACAGGCCCAACTAGGCCCAGGAGCATTCACAAGGTAGCGTGCAGCCAGGACCCTGTTTGATCGTCAAAAACCCTGTGCCCGAATGTCAACCCAGGACATGTTACCAAAGATGGCAGCAAGAGCAGCAAACTTACGAACGTCATGGGCACAGGGATAGACCGCAGGCTGACGAGACTTGATAACCCTGCAGATGACCTGAGAGACCCGTACTCACAAACAGGGAAACCGGATCAACCCAGAGCGCGTCCCTGGACACAAGCCGTGGCGCACAAATAACGGCGGAGAATCGCAACCGGACACAACACATAATGCACCCCCCGACCTGACCCAACAAGCATCAAGTGCACGAGACAGCTTGTGAACGGCGCACAAGTAACATCTATACCGAGAGCAAGCTGCAGAGGCTCCGCCAGCGCCTCACGATAAGAAACGACAGTATTCGGCATAAGATGACGGTCCTGGAACAACCACAAGAGAAAGGACAACACCACCCAAACCGAAAGCAAAGTAAAAATAATGAAGAGTCAAAAAGAAACTTCATACTACAGTAGAGGCGAAGTCTGCAGGTCGAACACCATCAAGGAAGCCACCTGATCACCATAGAGATGATGATGAACTCTAGAAATAAAACACCAAACACGAAGACTCGAGGAGAAGAGAGAACCAGTCTCATAATGGACCGGGCCGATCTGTTAAAAGAGGCGGAGCCACGGAACAATCTGCTGGATCGAACACCGGGCAAGCAGCGCCTGAAATCACGGCAGGCTTGCCACCACGGGGCCAACAGGACTACTCGCCCCTGGCAAGTCTCCAAGCAAGCCAGGACCTGGAGCAACAGCTGAACCGGGGGGGAAAGAGGTACAGGAACCCCCACCTCAACCAGTCCTGCCGGGAAGGCGTTGATCTTGACAGCCTCGAGGCATCTTCCAATATATGTGGGAAAGGCGCCACATATATCGGAAATGTGGGAAAGGCGCCACATATATCGGAAGATGCCTCGACCACGCCGACGCGAAGAGGTCCACCTCCAGGCGCCTGAACGTCCAGCAGAGCTAACTGAATGTGTTGGAGTCGACTGTTCACTCCATGGACAGGGGGAACGAACCAGGACAGGCCATCCACTAGGACTTTGGACACTCCCCGGACATGAACGGCCAGGAGAGCCAAACCCCGAGAACTCAGCAGACGAGTCACCCGAAGCGACAAGCCCCCAAAGATCCAAGGACCACATCGAACCCGCCCTCGGTTCAGGCAATGAACCACCAGAGAGCAGTCCAAATGGAGCCGGATTGTCAATCCGCGGGCGACCCGAACCCTCCGAAGTGCAAACCACACCGCCGCAAACTCTCACACGGTGCTGTGGGCCTGACGGAAGGATGGACCCTACCGCCCCTGGCCGGCCTGGTGAGCACTAGTCATGAAGCTGCAGCCGAGAGACGACGCGTATGTGAACACATGGAGCAAGGGCTCAGGTAGGTGCCAAGGAACTGAACCCTGAAATACCCAGAGAGGAAGCCGGCAACGCGGCAGCCTATGTAAGGCCCCTGGGAGTCGAACCCAGCAATTGCCTGAGAGGCGGAATGAACGTCCCTGAAGGAACCAGAACAGCCGACGAAGCCAAATCCGACCCAGCGGGTAGACCATCATTGCAAATTTCAATGAGTGTGCACAGACCCTCGAGCAACTGTCTCATGACCCAGGAGCCCTCCAAAAAAAAAGCGCATGCGGGACCACAGCCGAAAGAGAGACTTCGGAGGAAGAGGCAAGGAAGCGGTCCGAGAGTCCCACAAGTACAAGACCCATTGGTGTCTTGTACCCCTATGGGATACCCCGATGTACCTCAGTTTGAAGCATAGAATACCCCCACAAGAACCAGCCAGGTCCAAACCTGGGAGTTAACCAGATGGGATTTCTGCAAGTTCACCAGGAACCCAAACCCGGCTAGGTGGGAAAGCACCAAACCCCTGGCGAGAAGACACACGGATGTACCACAGCAGGGAAAGAATGAGAGGGCACGGTCGGAACCAAGGCTGAAGCAACCAACACCCTCAAGTCCGGGTCCCTATAAGCAAAACAGGGCAGCTTTGAGGCACCAAAGGAAGCTACCAACCGAGCACGTTGCAACAGCCTAAACCTATCCTGCAACATTTGAGCTGCCTGCACCCAAATAATGTCATCATCAGAATGGTTGGATTGAGTCACAAACAAGCAATATAGCTCGCAGGACTCAGGGTCGAACCAACAGGCAACATGACGGAGGCAAAAACAATGAGCATCGCCCTGAGACAAGGGGACAGAGCAACCCTCAAACTCGCAAACAGCGAGAGGGCACTCTGGTTCGCATCCATTGGACCCAAGTGCCCCTGTGAAGTTTCCCAGGGCCACTAGACTGGGTCTGCTAAGGGTAATCCCAGGCAGGGTACTGCTAACCGGCATCCAAGCTACCAATCAACACTGCTAAAGCTGAACCCCCGGGACGTGTCCACTCACGAGGGCGAAGCAGGGGGTACCACCAAACAAAAGCAACCCTAGTATAACAGGAGGAAGTAACACCGAGGCAGACCCTCCCCACCAGGCAAAAACAAAATAAAAGAAAAACCTTGTAAGAGGACAACGTACCCAGAGGGAACAGAGCCGGCCGCTGTTATGGGTGAAAACTAGCTGCGCAGAACCCCGTGCCCCTACCAATACAATAACTACCACTTACCCCAAGGTAAACAAGGGAGGAAACCACCAAAAACACTTGGGGCAGTCAATTGCCAAGCAGCAAAAGACCAACAGAGGTAGACTTAAGGTGACTTGTGGAAGATAACCCCAAGCCCCAAGGGCGGCACTTATAGGGCACTCAGGGAAGGTGACCCTAAGCACCTGCAGCCCGAGTACCTTGAAATATTACTCCCAGCTCACATGCCACCGTAAGAGCAGTACTGAAGCAAAGCACAGCACAACAAGAATCTGGAGCTGGAGCCACTCGACCATGCTGTATCCCATCAGCCAAAGAACTGGGGTGTGGATTGCTGGTGTGGGGGTCTGAGGCTCCCCCTTCCCCCTCTGGGGTAGGGGGGAGCTGCGCGGACATGCGGCGCGGCGTGGCTCGTGTGACGTCATGCTCGTTTGCTCGTTTTCAATTGGGGAGTTCAATTCCGTATGTCAAGTTTTGTGAAATATATGATAAAGGCACAAAAAAATTTATACCAAAACAGAGATGCAGAACTAGGAAACAGGATTGGTTCAACAGAAATTGCGAGAGGATCAGAGACCAAAAGACACAAAAATGGAATCAATACAGGAAGAGGCCAAACCCCCAAACATACCAGCGATACAAAGATGCAAGAAACAACTACACGACAGTGAGGAGAGAGGCAGAAAGAAATTTTGAAAAAGGGATTGCAGACAAATGTAAAACAGAACCAGGTCTATTCTATAAATTCATAAACAACAAATTGCAGGTAAAGGATAATATTCAGAGGTTGAAAATGGGAAATAGATTCACGGAAAATTAAAAGGAAATGTGTGAAACACTAAACGAAATTTCCAAAGTGTGTTTGTACAAAATGAAATCTTCAGGGAACCAGATACTACAGTACAGTATAAGAATTCCAGAGAACAACATAGAGCACATTGAGGTGTCTAGAAACGAAGTGGAAAAAATGCTCAGGGAGCTAAGTAAGAACAAAACAGTTGGTCCAGATGGAGTTTCACCATGGGTTCTGAGAGAATGTGCACCTGAGCTCAGCATTCCACTTCAACTGATTTTTCAGGCATCCCTGTTTACAGGAGTTGTAGCTGATGTGTGGAAAAAGGCTAACATAGTTCCAATCTACAAAAGTGGAAGCAGGGAAGACCCCCCTTAATTATAGACCTGTATCATTGACAAGTGTAACAGTCAAAATATTGGAAAAAATAATTAAAACTAAATGGTAGAACACCTGGAGGAAAACGATATAATATCAGACAGACAGTATGGTTTTCATTCTGGAAGATCCTGTGTAACGAACTTACTCAGTTTTTATGATCGAGCCACAGAGATATTACAGGAAAGAGATGGTTGGGTTGACTGCATCTATCTGGACCTAAAAAAGGCTTTCGACAGAGTTCCCTATAAGAGGTTGTTCTGGAAACTGGAACATATTTGAGGGGTGAGGGGTGAGAGGTAAGCTTCTAACATGGATGAAAATTTTCCTAACTGACAGAAAAATGAGGGCCGTTATCTTGGTTATCTTAAGTAATCAGAGGCAAGGTATCGGATTGGAGGAATGTCACGAGTGCAGTACCACAGGGTTCAGTTCTTGCACCGGTAATGTTCATTGTCTACATAAACGATCTACCAGTGGGAATACAGAATTATATGAACATGTTTGCTGATGATGCTAAGATAATAGGGAAGATAAGAAAACTAGATGATTGTCATGCCCTTCAAGAAGACCTGGACAAAATAAGTATATGGAGCAACACTTGGCAAATGGAATTTAATGTGAATAAATGCCATGTTATGGAATGTGGAATTGGAGAACATAAACCCCACACAACCTATAAATTATGTGAGAAATCTTTAAAGAATTCTGACAAAGAAAGGGATCTAGGGGTGGTTCTAGATAGAAAACTTTCACCTGAGGACCACATTAAGAACATTGTGCGAGGAGCCTATACTACACTTTCTAATTTCAGAATTGCTTTTAAATTCACGAATGGAGAAATACTAAAGAAATTGTTCACGTCTTTTGTTAGACCAAAGCTGGAACATGCAGCAGTTGTGTGGTGCCCATATCTTAAGAAGCACATCAACAAACTGGAAAAGGTGCAATGACATGCCACTAAGTGGCTCCCAGAACTGAAGGACAAGAGCTACGAGGAGAGGTTAGAGGCATTAAATATGCAAAAACTAGAAGATAAAAGAAAAAGAGGTGATATGATCACTACGTTCAAAATAGTAACAGGAATCGATAAAATTGATAGGGAAGAATTTCTAAGACCCGGAACGTCAAGAACAAGAGGTCATAGATTTAAACTAACGAAACAAAGCTGCCGGAGAAATATAAGAAAATTCACTTTTGTAAACAGAGTGGTAGACCGTTGGAACAAGTTAGGTGAGAAGGTGGTGGAGGCCAAAACCGTCAGTAATTTCAAAGCATTACAGTATATGAAAAAAGAGTGCTGGGAAGACGGGACACTACAGCGTAGCTCTCATCCTGTAACTACACTTAGGTAATTACATCAACTGATGCCAAAGTTAGGAATAGTCTTATTAGCCTGGATAGCTCCAGGGAGCCGTAGGGGCTTCCCTCAAGAAAAAGATTTAGAAAGTTAGGTTTTTCAAACTTATAAATGGCTTTTCAGTGGTTCAAGCAGCACTTCATATACTGTACAGCAAAGAATAATCCTATTCAATACAAGCTATGTGTAATTTTTTTTTCAAATTCATGAAAAAACTAATGATAGGTCCCACAGTACGGTACTCTCATTAATTGACAGTAAATGAAAGCACCCCTCACTTACCAAGGTATTCATCTTCAAAGACTGGAATTTACTCAAATATGGTGTAGATTAATCATAGTGCTTTGTATTATGCTGTAACCTGTGACATCAGACCTATTGTATTAGAGGGGCTTCTGTGTCCTATGTAGTGGTGACTATTTCCAAGCCATTTGTTAATACAGAAATATACTTTACACTCACGCTTTGATATGTGGAACCGAACATCTGTTTCACCAGAAATATCTTTATATCCTGGGTAGAAAATGGATGATCCTTGAGTGATTCTTCCATCAACATCAACTGTGGCATTATTAGATGAAAAATCTATTTCATCTAAGTCAGAACTGTCAGAGTCTGAAGCCACAAGATCTTCTTGGCTAACTGCTGATATTCTACTGGATTTTTTCCTGAAATATTTGATTTATAAAATAATATAACATAATAGGTTGTGGTTATCAGTAAATATATGCTAATTTATCCAACTACTGTATTGGTTTACTGATTTCTCTATTATAAGAGTGAATCAAACTTCAAATAGGCATTGATTGTGTTTAGATAAATTTGTTATTGATCTCTTGCACTCAAATATTGAACTGTAGCAATAGTGTGTGAACATTTATTTATTACTATTATTGTACTTGGTCATAAGTTTTATGATATTTACAGTACATTACGTACTGAAGAGTTTGGTAATTTGGATTCTGGCAGCCTGAAACTTGAAGCATTTTTTATGGACTGTGTGATGTCTTACTAGAGGCATCATGTGAAGAAGGGAAAACAATCTTCCATGGACAGATTTGTTGTGAAAAAATCGAGCAGTGAGCCAAAACCAGGACCTGGTGGTATGCAGGCAAAACGTGCCAGGGAGTGCACCCCAGAGGTCATCACTGCCTGATGTTATAATGGAAGGGGACTCCCCTTCCAAACAGTAACACCTCTCCTCCTCCCCCCCTCCTTACCATCTTCCATACGCCTACGACATTCATCAACAAGGGTAAGTAATAACTTGAACATAGTTTGTAGGTTAATTTATATGAATTAGGTATAAAATTTAGTTTGAAGTGAGGTTTTTGGGTAGTCAGGAACAGATTAATTAATTTCCCATTATTTCTTATGGGGAAATTAGCTTCGGATTACTAGTTTTCGGGATACGAGTTGTCTCCAGGAACGGATTAAACTCTTAAAACCTAGGTACCACTGTGTATATGTGTATGTGTGTATGTGTGTGTGTGTGTGTGTTTAATTACCTAAGTGTAGTTACAGGATGAGAGCTACGCTCGTGGTGTCCCGTCTTCCCAGCACTTTTTGTCATAACGCTTTGAAACTACTGACAGTCTTGGCCTCCACCACCTTCTCACCTAACTTGTTCCAACTGTCTACCACTCTGTTTGCGAAAGTGAATTTTCTTATATTTCTTCGGCATTTGTGTTTAGCTAGTTGAAATCTATGACCTCTTGTTCTTAAAGTTCCAGGTCTCAGGAAATCTTCCCTATCAATTTTATCAATTCCTGTTACTATTTTGTATGTAGTTTGTATGTATACATATCACCTCTTTTTCTTCTGTCTTCTAGTTTTGGCATATTTAATGCCTCTAACCTCTCCTCGTAGCTCTCGCCCTTCAGTTCTGGGAGTCACTTAGTAGCATGTCTTTGCACCTTTTCCAGTTTGTTGATGTGCTTCTTAAGATATGGGCACCACACAACCGCTGCATATTCTAGCTTTGGCCTAACAAAAGTCGTGAACAATTTCTTTAGTATATCCCCATCCATGTATTTAAAAGCAATTCTGAAGTTAGAAAGCGTGGCATAGGCTCCTCGCACAATATTCTTTATGTGGTCCTCAGGTGATAGTTTTCTATCTAGAAACACCCCTAGATCTCTTTCTTTATCAGAATTCTTTAAAGATTTCTCACATAATATATAGGTTGTGTGAGGTCTATGTTCTCCTATTCCACATTCCATAACATGGCATTTATTAACATTAAATTCCATTTGCCATGTGGTGCGCCATATAATTATTTTGTCCAGGTCATCTTGAAGGGCATGACAATCATCTAAGTTTCTTATCCTTCCTATTATCTTAGCATCATCAGCAAACATGTTCATATAATTCTGCATACCAACTGGGAGATCATTTATGTAGACAATAAACATCACTGGTGCAAGAACTGAACCCTGTGGTACTCCACTTGTGACATTTCTCCAGTCCGATACATTGCCTCTGATTACTGCCCTCATTTTTCTATCAGTCAGAAAATTTTTCATCCATGTTAGAAGCTTACCTGTCACCCCTCCAATATTTTCCAGTTTCCAGAACAACCTCTTATATGGAACTCTGTCGAAAGCCTTTTTTAGGTCCAGATAGATGCAGTCAACCCAACCATCTCTTTCCTGTAATATCTCTGTTGCTCGATCATAGAAACTGAGTAAATTCGATACACAGGATCTTCCAGATTGAAAACCATACTGTCTGTCTGATATTATATCATTTCTCTCCAGGTGTTCTACCCATTTAGTTTTAATTATTTTTTCCAATATTTTGACTATTACACTTGTCAATGATACCGGTCTATAATTAAGGGGGGGGGTCTTCCCTGCTTCCACTTTTGTAGATTGGAACTATGTTAGCCTTTTTCCACACATCAGCTACAACTCCTGTAAACAGGGATGCCTGAAAAATCAGTTGAAGTGGAATGCTGAGCTCAGGTGCACATTCTCTCAGAACCCATGGTGAAACTCCATCTGGACCAACTGTTTTGTTCTTACTTAGCTCCCTGAGCATTTTTTCCACTTTGTCTCTAGACACCTCTATGTGCTCTATGTTGTTCTCTGGAATTCTTATAGTATCTGGTTCCCTGAAGATTTCATTTTGTACAAACACACTTTGGAACTTTTCGTTTAATGTTTCACACATTTCCTTTTCATTTTCCGTGAATCTATTTCCCATTTTCAACCTCTGAATATTATCCTTTACCTGCAATTTGTTGTTTATGAATTTATAGAATAGACCTGGCACTGTTATACATTTGTCTGCAATCCCTTTTTCAAAATTTCTTTTTGCCTCTCTCCTCACTGCCGTGTAGTTGTTTCTCGCATCTTTGTATCTCTGGTATGTTTGGGGGTTTGGCCTCTTCCTGTATTGATTCCATTTTTGTCTTTTGGTCTCTGGCTCTCTCACACACTCTGTTGAACCAATCCTGTTTCCTAGTTCTGCTTCTCTGTTTTGGTATCAATTTTTTTGTGCCTTTATCATATATTTCACAAAACTTGACATACATCTCATTCACTTCCTTGCCTAGCAAGAAGTCTGTCCAATTATACTCGCTAAAATTTTTTCTAAGGTTGCCATAATGTCCTCTCCTAAAGTCAGGTTTTTCAATTGCATCAACCTTCATATTTTCTTCCAGATTATAACGCATTGCATACTTTATTCCCAACAAGACATGGTCACTTTTACCCAAGGGAGGAAGGTACTGAATGTCAAATATTTCTTCCTCCTTCCTGGTAAATATCAAATCTTGCATGGAGGGAATGTCCTCTTCCCTCATCCTCGTAGCTTGTTTAACATGTTGATATAAGAATGTTTCCAGGATGAGGTCTACAAATTTACAGGTCCAGAAATCTTGTGTTTTAGCTTCATACGCTTCCCAGTCTATGGATTTCAAGTTGAAGTCGCCGATTATCAGCAGTCGTGTACTAACGTTATCCGCTCTCTCTATGATCTCTCTCATTATTGTTATAAGACCTTCTCGTTTACTATCTAACTCCTCCTTTGACCATGTGCTGCTCAGCGGTGGACTATATGCATTTATGATCATTAGTTTATCATCCTCATGGCAGATCTCTAGTGCTATTATGTTAACTTCTTGTGGATTGGCAGTCATTATTTCTTTCACCTTTAGGTGTTCTTTCACCAGCACAGCAACGCCACCGCCTTTCCTAATTTTTCTGTCCTGTCTCCAAACTGAGTAGCCCCTTGGGAATATGACCTCATTTAAAATAACATCTTCAAGTTTTGTCTCCGTGAGTGCAACAATGTCTGGTGTCTGCAGCTGTATTACATCACTTAACTCCAGTATCTTCGATCTTACTCCATCTATGTTGGTGTATGCAATCTTCAGGAACTTGTTCCCCCTCGTGTGTGTGTGTGTGTGTGTGTGTGTGTGTGTGTGTGTGTGTGTGTGTGTGTGTGTGTGTGTGTGTGTGTGTGTGTGTGTGTGTGTGTCTGTGTGTGTATATATATATATATATATATATAAGTATATATATATATATATATTGGCGGCAGGTTTTCTTTTATGCATGTCTCATTGAATATGACAGCATATTTCGTATTTACTGTTTTCTGATTTAGGGCTTCTATCCCTCTTACTAATGCTCTTGCATCAGGGTTCAGCTGGAAGAGGAGTTCACCAAAAGTCATGTTGTTTTCAAGGTGAAGAAAAGAATTGAATAACTGAAGAATGTATTACACTTATTATAAAATCGCACAAATTTTATAATATAATAACTGCGATTTTATAATAAGTGTAATACATTTTTTAGTTATTCAATTCTTTTCTTCACCTTGAAACCAACATGACTTTTGGTGAACTCCTCTTCCAGCTGAACCCTGATGCAAGAGCATTAGTAAGAGGGATAGAAGCCCTAAATCAGAAAATAGTAAATACGGAATATGCTGTCATATTCAATGAGACATGCATATATATATATATATATATATATATATATATATATATATATATATATATATATATATATATATATATATATATATATATATATATGTATATATAATATATATATATATATATATATATATATATATATATATATATATGTCGTACCTAGTAGCCAGAACTCACTTTTTGGCCTACTATTCAAGGCCCGATTTGCCTAATAAGCCAAGTTTTCCTGAATTAATATATTTTTTCTAATTTTTTTCTTATGAAATGATAAAGCTACCCATTTCATTATGTATGAGGTCATTTTTTTTTTATTGGAGTTAAAATTAACGTAGATATATGACCGAACCTAACCAACCCTACCTAACCTAACCTAACCTATCTTTATAGGTTAGGTTTGGTTAGGTAGCCGAAAAAGTTAGGTTAGGTTAGGTTAGGTAGGTTAGGTAGTCGAAAAACAAATAATTCATGAAAACTTGGCTTATTAGGCAAATCGGGCCTTGCATAGTAGGCTGAGAAGTGCGTTCTGGCTACTAGGTACGACATATATATATATATATATATATATATATAATATATATGTATATATAATATATATTATATGTATATATACATATATATATATATATATATATATATGTATATGTATATATGTATATATATATATATATATATATATGTATATATGTATATATATATTATATATGTATATATATATATAATATATATTATATATATATGTCGTACCTAGTAGCCAGAACTCACTTTTCAGCCTACAATGCAAGGCCCGATTTGCCTAATAAGCCAAGTTTTCATGAATTAATATATTTTCTCTAATTTTTTTCTTATGAAATGATAAAGCAACCCATTTCATTATGTAAGATGTCAATTTTTTTTATTGGAGTTCAAATTAACGTAGATATATGACCGAACCTAACCAACCCTACCTAACCTAACCTAACCTATCTCTATAGGTTAGGTAGCCGAAAAAGTTTGGTTAGGTTAGGTTAGGTAGGTTAGGTAGTCGAAAAGCAATTAATTCATGAAAACTTGGCTTATTAGGCAAATCGGGCCTTGCATAGTAGGCTGAGAAGTGAGTTCTGGCTACTAGGTACGACATATATATATATATATATATATATATATATATATATATATATATATATATATATATATATATATATATATATATATATATATATATATATATATATTTATTTATTTATTTATTTATTTATTGCAGGAAACCAGGGACAGAGAACTTACTTTCTAAGGTTTAATCCCATTTCCTGAATTTTCTTCTCCAACTGTGATTCAATGTTGCCTTCGGAGATTGCAGAATACTCTAGGATGAACACCTCCAAGACAAATGCTGTGAAGATGCTACACAGAAAATGCATAATAAAATTATATAAAATTGGAGCAATAAACAATAATTATCCTAGATTCAAAAATTTATTTTTAATTAAAAAAATGTAGTGTTAAATGTGATAAAAGTAGCATTGCATGTAATGAAATGCCTTATTCTGTTGAATCCTTAGTGGCTTTTTGTTGGTAACAGCCTGGGTAGCTCCACCAAATTTGAAAATAATCACAATAAAATTTCATTTGCTTACCATAGCATGTCACTGCAATTACAGTACAGTACCTGGTATTGTATAAATTTGTTCTTTGTTATTTGTAGGAGAGAACAACAGGGATATATATATGTTAAAATTGAACACAGTTTACTTACTTAAGAACTATGATGACACACACAAGATGAAACACCAAGAAAAACAAGCGTGCCCATGGGTCTGTCACTGCTGCATAACCGTAAGCAATAAGTGTGCAAAAGTTAAGGAAGAACCCATTTTTAAACTGATACATCTGGTTGTCCATACAACAATATTTTCATTGTTATTAATCACAATAGTTCAGACCATAAATCATAATAAACACAAAATTTGTTTTAGAACCAAACTACATTTTTGTGTCGATACACAAACACCAACATTTATATCGTATTACATTACTGCATATACATTACACTATAAACAGAATAACTACAACAATCACTAAATAGACTGTGATAAGGGAAGTGAAAGGGAATATATATATATATATATATATACTTTTTTCAAGTCAATCCTGTGTCGTATCAATATGAATGTATGGCTAGCTGTAGTGCTTCCTTTGTTCATTGACATTACAGAGATTTATTTATCTGGCTCCACTGTTATGTTTCATTTCAATTACTTTTGCCCCTTATGTATTCTGTCTTAATTCCTCTTTTTCTTCCCTGAATATGTCCTGGCTCTTAATATACAGTACCACTTCTTTACCAAGACATGCTCACTAAGGTACTGAATTTAAAGGCAACCTTCACTGGTAAGGGGCGCGAGGCTCAGTAAGGGGCACGAGGCTCAGTAAGGGGCACGAGGCTCAGTAAGGGGCGCGAGGCTCAGTAAGGGGCACGAGGCTCAGTAAGGGGCACGAGGCTCAGTAACAACCCGTTCTCGCACTTTCTTACAGTCAATATTGACTTATTAAATAAGTGCATATGTGACCTACTAATTTATTGTGAATATTTTAGTTTACCTTGAAAAGCTTCATAGAAAACACCAACCTTACCTAACCTTCTTAGTATGTTAAGATAAGCATCTTATTGCTTCGTAATTACAATTATTACTTAACCTATACCTATAATAGGTTAAGTAATAATTGTCATTACGAAGCAATAAGATGCTTATCTTAACATACTAAGAAGGTTAGGTAAGGTCGTGTTTTCTATGAAGCTTTTCAAGGTAAACTAAAATATTCACAATAAATTAGCATGTCACATATGCACATATTTAATAAGTCAATATTGACTATACGAAAGTGCGAGAACGGCTTGGAGACTCAGTAAGGGGCATGAGGCTCCATCGTGGGAGTGACGTGGAGCAGGAAAATGAGTGACAAGTACTACACAGTGCCATCTTGGGTGGGATGAATGCTGAAGATTTTCTCTTGACTCAAGTGAAAGAAAATTGGCAACTCAACAATCATCTTTGGCAACTCGTACATTTTGTAAAGGTTAAAAGTGCAAATGAAGCTTTGTTTACACTGAATAAATACAGGCATCTACAAGGCCCTATTTAATGATAATTTTTTTGTGTATTAAAGGATATCATGCCATTGATTAACAACGGTAAGTTCAAACAAAACAATGAATGCATGGATGATATCATTGAAGTTGTTGTTACAATAATGGTCACGCCAGAAGTCCGAGTTTTCTAGCTTGGCATTGCTGCAGAAAAGGTCTGATCCTCCTTCTATATCATAGCCTGTGAACTTCACCAGCCCTTGGAATGATTCCATTCCCACAATGGCAAATATATAGAAGAAGACCTGAAAAAGAAAAAACTGAATATTAATCACAACACTTGATACAACATAACAAACAACACTAAAGTAAAACATAAATAACTGTGGTTTCAACAAAGCACTAAATTTTTTATCACATTTCGTAAAAATATCATGTTTCAATACAAGAAAAACTGGCCTAACCAACCAGTATGACTCCTCCATATGTTAAGAGTGACGGGATAACCTTGCTGATGGTGTGGACAATGACCTTAAACCGACCAACACTTCCAATAATCTTGACCAGCCGCAGGACCCTCAGTACCAGCAGCACATCAAGTGAAAGACGGCTCTGCTGTTCTAATAATTTACAATTTACAAATTAACACACACTTATCAAGTTGAGATATTTTCAATATTAGAATTGACAAAAACATTATCTCAAAAAACAAAAACCATTGACAATAACAACACTCAATCTCTTAAGTTACCTGAATGAATTTTCAATCATTAAGTTTATAAAAGTGCCATATACAGTAGTACTTCTACTACATGATCTCTTTAGTTATTTTGCATGATATGAGCAAATTAAGAAAACATTCTGTACTGTCTTTAAAGATTATTTGACACACAGGGCAGCCATAAATACTTAATGATTTGAACGTATTCTCATGATAAAGATAATAAACTGTATTTGCTAATTAAATTATTTTACAAGCAGTCAACATACTAAGAACTGCAACCCATCAGATTTAGTCAAGATTTTCAAATTTTGTATATGGTTTAAAACAAAGTTTTATCAAAGCCATAATGCAGACAGCAGAGGTTGGGAATAAAGAACATAACAAACCACTTTGAATGATGGCATCCAAAACCCCCATGATGAAGGCTGCTCCAATCACAATAAAGTCAAACCTGCGAGTGATAAAAACCACACATTCACTATCCCTTCACTTGGCAAGAATTAAACAAATCTTATATTAATCATAATCATTTTATTGAAAAAACTGATCAAATCTTCCTTGTTGCAATTAGATTAAATACCAGGAGTGTACTATAGGGCCAAAAGTTTACTATGGGGCCAAGAGTTTACTATGGGGGCCAAAAGTTTACCTTGGGGGCAAGAGTTTACTATGGGGGCCAAGAGATTACTGTGCACACTCAAAGAACATCACATAAATGTTAGCGTAAGAATGACTTTTGAATGTGAAGTTATTAACTGAAAAATCTGTACTAGTGCACTATACAACTTAGATTATCAAATCAAACACAATGAATCCCATATGTAAAATTAACTCATGTTGCCTGATACATTTACAAGCATGGGAATACAAATTTCCATTATGCAAATTTATCGGTGCAAAATTAATCTTCAAAATTTAAAACATACTAAACACTTATTACCAATCTAGTGTTTGGGGTACAAGAATGCTGGTCATTAACAATTCACTTTGTGTCACATAAGGTGTGCGTAGAAATATAAAATATTTGTAATAACTAGAGAACCATATTGTACTTAGCAAAGATTTCATAAGACGGCACATGTATACATCGAAACATCCAAAATAAATTTACATTGCATCAAGTTTCATTAATTTGAATGGTTTTCGAAGGCCACACCGAGTACCATAAAAGGCCGCAGGTCCTCCTACCCCTAGTATACAGTATACAGCACTTACAGCAAAAATTTACTATTGAAAACAAAAATCTATAATGATGCCAATTATCTAAAATTTCAATTCACTAATTATTTTGTTCGTTAAGTTGCGTGAAAGTTTAGAGCCAGTCCACTAAGATACACTTACACATTCCACATCCTCTTGAAGAAGCGCCTGATACCCAGCACATACAACTTGAGTATAATCTCCAGCATGAAGAAGGAGAGGAAGATCCATTCTGCAGCATCATCCCAGGTTGATTCAGGGGTTGATATGCCAATCACCACAGCATTCAATAATGTCAACAAATCAAAGAAAATCTGGAAGAGTCTGTAATAAAATAAATTTGATTATTAACAAAGTACCTGTACACTAATACAGATTAGCAACTAGGAAACCTTCACTTCTATATTGGAATTTTTGTTTTGTGGTGACATTCAAAATTACAAAATCATCATCTCCCGGCTGGTGTAAAATCCAGCAGCAAGAGGAAATTAGTTTGGTCTCTTCAGGGTGCCTGACAGCTGGGTGGACAGTGCTTCGGATTCGCAGTCCTGAGGTTCTGGGTTCGATCCCTGGTGGAGGCGGAGACAAATGGCCAAAATGTTTCTTTCACCCTGATACCCTTATTACTTAACAGTAAATAGATACCTGGGAGTTAGACAGCTGCTACGGGTTGCTTCCTGGGGGGGTGTAACAAAAAGGAGGCCTAGTCGAGGACCGGGCCGCGGGGACGCTAAGCCCCGAAATCATCTCAAGATAACATCCTCTTCTGCCGAGTTATAGCTTTATATTTCATACTTATTGTTTTACATTTCTATGACAAAATTGTTCATAATCAACAAAGTTGATAAAAAGAGAGAGAAAAAAAGGCTTACTTGTGTTTGACAATCCGACACAGTAGCCGTGATGGCTTGGAGTAGTAGACGGATGGGAAGTAGTGTCCAATAAGTGTTGTTCTATCTACTACTTCCGACACCTCCACATTCAACAAGTCAGCCAGCTTTAAAAATTCTCGCTTCTCTGTAATCAATAAAATTTTCAGGCACTGCACATGAATAATTCAAACATACACATACAAAACTGAAATTACTTTAATAAATGATAAATGAACAAATAAGAAGAGATTTATGAATGCAACGCTGATATCACTTTACTATTGCAACGTAATGTTCCATCACTGTAATACCCACAAATATACTACACACCAGATGTCAACATAATAATGTCTATAGATGTACTGCACCACACATCCAACCATTGCAAGATTCATTACAATTTCTATCAAAATAAAATATATCTACTTTGCAGCACTGTACAAGTGTTTCATGCCATTTTTTAAAGCAATTCAAATGGAACATTTTGTTGAATGTTTGAATATTTAACCCTAATTTAGTCTAATAATGACATAATTCAGATATTGTTCTATTTAGTAGAATATCTATGTAGCACAGTGCCCTGCAAGTTTGTATCAAAACAGCATCGTCACAAGCTTATATCCAACTTATCCAAAAAAATTTATGTTAGAACAGGATTCATTATTCAAAAAATTCTTAAAACAGATCTAAGAAATCATTGAGCATTTTTCCAATATGATCTGGTTTCCAAGCCATAGAAGTTTTCTTTCGTTATGATTGTTACTCAAAATGCCCTACAATCTTTATTAATTTTGCTTTGCTATTAAAAATTCTGGGGCACACTTCTCAGTTGTTGCAACACTCTTTTCATCTTCAGTCATCATTATTCAAATTTGAGGGCCTGCAGAATATAATAATAAATAAAAAAAATACAAACATACAAAATAAGGATTTACATGACTATGAAGGAAGGATAATTAGTATCCGGTGATGCATAAAACAATAGACCTGTTTGGACACACAAGTTGAGGAAGGAAAATAAGTCCTGGTCATTTAAAGACACATAAGCTAATTAAAGCAAATACTTCTATGTCTCCCTTATTCCTTGTTCCATTTTGAAACTACAGTACCCTGAGAAATAGTAGTCATACAGTACTAGTGTATGTTTCATATCACCCTTTACACATTTTAGAGAGTGCTCAGCATTTATCTACTCAAATGACCACTTATCATCCAAGCCAAATTTATCTCAGGATTGCAATTTTTAATCCCATAATTTATCTTATAACAATAATCAAGAAAATATACTAAAAAGCAAATTTTAGTTACAAACAATTATTCATACTTATTTAATAAAAAGATTAAAGGATATAAATTTACCAAGAGAATCTGAGCCATCCGAGTCCAACACTATCCACATAACGTTGACAAGTGCAGGATTCTTCTGGCTGTCGAGAAATCGCATCAAATGCACAAATCGATTTCTTGTTATTACTCTCCTAAGAGATCAGCAAACATAAAAATTAGGCAATTGATGACAGCAAGAGGAATGACAAAAATACATAGTTAAATGAAATAAAACACCATTTTCTGGTAGGCTTCATAAGCTCCATGGTGCATTGACTCTGATAACATACAGTCACAAAATTACCAGGCCTCTTGTGCAGGCTTACAAAACAATGAGACGAAATCCTGAAATTACCAGGCCTCTTGTGCAGGCCTACAAAACAATGAGACAAAATCCTGGTGTGCTTATAGAGGTGAGGGGAGCATGGAATCAAAGACTGACCCAAAACTGACCCATAAACCTGGTGTTCCTCTTTGTCCTATCATTTTTTCACTGGGCTCGGTCGGCTATCCTCTTGCCTCCTGGCTCGCTAAAACTGTGACGCCTTACCTTGGCACTTTTCCTCCTGCCCATGTTCGTCACTCTCAGGACTTCATAGAAAGACTGCACCTGCAGACATCCTGTAAGATGCTTAGTCTTGATGTTGACTCTCTGTTCACTAATGTTCCCCTTGATGACGTTCTTTCTTTCCATAGACAGAAGGCGACTGAGGGCCTTCTTCCTCTCCTGTTTCCCACTAACTCATTAGACTGTGTTGACTAACTCTTTCTCCTTCAACGGTAAATATTACATTCAAACTTTCGGTGTTGCTATGGGTTTCCCTCTCTCCCCTGTTCTTGCCCATTTCTACATGGAACACTTCGAAACTGTTCTTTTTCCTTCTATTGATACTCGTCCCTCTCTCTGGCATCGCTATGTTGATGACATCTTTGCTTTATGGCCTCATGACCTTAGCCTTTTCCAGCCTTTCCTCTCCTCTCTTAACAGTCTGGCTCCTTCCATCCATTTCAAAGTTGAATGGGAATTTAATTCCCTCCTTCCTTTTCTTGATGTTCACGTTCACAGCTCTGTGTCTGGGTTCTCTTTCTCTGTCTACTGCAAACCCATGCATAATGACATGTACATTCATTTCTTTTCCTACTATCCTCCTCATGTTAAGAAAAGTTCCCTCATCTCTCTTCTTCCACGCTCTACGCATCAGCAACCCTCAGTTTCTTGATTCTGAAATTGCCTTTACCTACAAATCATTCTCTCGCCTTGATTACCCTTTGCATTTTATCAACTGTGCCTATTCTCAAGCTAAACGAAATTTCTTTCATCCTAAACATGCTTCCAACACTAGTAGCACTGTGCTCTGCCTTCCCTTCAAATCTGAACTCAACACTTTTACTAATACCTTTCGTCCTCTTGACATAAAGCTCGCCTTTCGACAAACTAACACACTTCATAGCAATCTAGTTCACACTGCTCCTCCTGCTTCCAATGGTGCTGGTGTTTACTCTATTTCCTGTTCATCTTGTCCTCTTCAATATCTTTGGTGAAACTGGCCGCTCACTTAATGACAGACTTAGGAACACAAAAGAAGTGTTAAGTCTGCAGACACAAACAATGCTCTCTTCAGTCAAGTTAGGGATTCTAATCATCTTATTGATTGGTCTTCCTCCAAAATAATCTTTCCTGCCTCTACTCTACACAGATGCCGTCTTGTTGAATCGGCTCTGATACACAACGTACCCAATGTGAACTTGTGTCCTGGCTTTGTTGCTGTTGACTCTTCCCGTTTACAGTATATACTCAAATGCTCTAAACTTTTTAACAAATGTGACTTAACATAAGCTTACCCTTCCATTTATCTTTCTTGTTTCCTATCTTTTTCCTATCTTTTTCTTTCCCTTATTTTCTCTTACGATCCCTTTCTTATTAAGAACATAAGAACAAAGGTAACTGCAGAAGGTCTATTGGCCCATACGAGGCAGCTCCTATTTATAACCACCCAATCCCACTCATATACATGTCCAACCCACGTTTGAAATAATCGAGGGACCCCACCTCCACCACGTTACGCGATAATTGGTTCCACAAAACAACAACCCTGTTACCGAACCAGTATTTACCCAAGTCTTTCCTAAATCAAATTTTATCCAATTTATACCCATTGTTTGTGTTCTGTCTTGTGTTGATACTTTTAATACCCTATTAATATCCCCCTTTGTTATGCCCATTCATCCACTTGAAAACCTCTATCATGTCACCCGTAACTCTTCACCTTACCAGTGAATCCAATTTAAGCTTTGTTAATCTCTCTTCATATGACAGGTTTCTAATTTGGGGAATTAACTTAGCATAGGGGAGCCGGTCGGCCGAGCGGACAGCACACTGGACTTGTGATCCTGTGGTCCTGGGTTCGATCCCAGGCGCCGGCGAGAAACCATGGGCAGAGTTTCTTTCACCCTATGCTCCTGTTACCTAGCAGTAAAATAGGTACCTGGGTGTTAGTCAGCTGTCACGAGCTGCTTCCTGGGGGTGGAGGCCTGGTCGAGGACCCAGCCGCGGGGACACTAAAGCCCCGAAATCATCTCAAGATAACCTCAAGATAGTCATCCTATGCTAGACACGTTCAAGTGAATTTATATCCATTCTATAGTATGGCGACCAAAATTGAACTGCATAATCTAAATGGGGCCTAACCAGAGCAAGATATACTTGAAGAATAACACCAGGTGTCTTGTTACTAACGCTTTGATTAATAAATCCCAGTGTCCTATTTGCCTTATTACGAACATTCATGCATTGCTCTTTTGGTTTCAAATTCTTACTAATCATAACTCCCATATCCCTTTCGCAATCCAACTGCGCCAATCTCAACACCATCCAGCTCGTATTTTGTAACAATTATCATTAACTAGCTTCAAAACTTTACATTTATCAGCATTAAACTGCATCTGCCAATCTTTTGACCATTTCAAAACCCTATTTAGATCGACTTGAAATAACAGTGAGTCTTCTTCCGTGTTTATTTCCCTACCGATTTTTGTATCATCGGCAATTTGCAAATGTTGCTACTCAAACCTGAATCTAAATCATTTATATATATTATAAACAACAGAGGTACCAGGAGAGAGTCTTGAGGCACTCCACTTACAACATTTTCCCACTCTGACTTAAGTCCATTTATACTAACTCTCTGTTTCCTCTGGTATAGCCATGCCCTAATCCAACTGAATATAGCACCCCCAATACCATGAGCCTTTATTTTTTTAATCAGTCTTTCATGTGGCACTGTATCAAAAGCTTTGCTAAAGTCAAGGTACACAACATCACAATCCTTACCACTATCAACTGCCTCAACTAAGCTGGAATAAAATGATAGCATGTTTGTTAAACATGAACGACCATTTGTAAAACCATGTTGCGAATCATTTATTAATGTATGTTTTTCAAGATGCAGACGAATTGTATTTGCAATTATCGATTCAAGTAACTTTCCCACAATAGACATTGGGCTAATTGGCCGAAAGTTTGATGCAAGTGATCTATCTCCTTTCTTAAAAATTGGTACCACATTAGCAACCTTCCATGACTCTAGCACTCTGCCTGACTCTATTGATTTATTAAATATGGTAGACAATGGCTCGCAAAGCTCCTCTTTGCATTCTTTAAGCACTCTAGCAAACACTTCATCCGGCCCTGGTGATTTGTTTGGTTTGAGTTTTACTATTTGTTTAATAACATCCTCCCTGGTAACTGCTAAACTAGTCAATCTGTCCTCGTCCCCACCCCACAGACTTGTTCGGCTGACCGCATATTGTTAAGTTCCTCTTTAGTAAATACAGATATAAAATATTTATTAAAAATACTACTCATCTCTTCGTCACTATCCGTTATTTGACCTGTCTCGGTTTTTAATGGGCCTATCCTTTCCCTAATCTTTGTTCAATATAACTGAAAAAACCCTTTAGGATTTGTCTTTGCTTGCCCTGCTATGCGAACTTCATAGTTTCTTTTTGTTTTCCTTATCTCTTTTTTTTAACATTTCTAACCAGTTGTACAAATTCCTGTTCTAAACTGACTTCCCCATTCTTAATCTTTTTGTACCATGCTCTCTTTTTACCTATAAGGTTCTTCAAACCCTTTGTTATCCACTTTGGGTCATTAGTATTCGATCTATTCAATTTGTATGGTATACTACATTCCTGTGCTTTGCTTAGAATATTTTTAAATAAGTTATATTTTGAATCCACATCGAAATTCATTTTTATGTCATTTATCGCTGGGTTCATGTCTCGCTTCAAGACTGGCCCACCCCCCATGCCCAAGACTTTCCAATCTAATTTGACCCAAAAAATGTCTTAGGCTATTGAAATCAGCTTTTCTAAAATCTGGCACTTTAACAGAATTTTCTCCTGCAGATATATTCCAATCTATGCTAAATCTGATTTCTTTGTGATCACTGTTCCCTAGCTCACTCCCTATTTCGATGTCATGAATTTGTGTTTCCCTGTTAGTTAACATTAAATCTAAAATATTATTTTCCCGTGTTGGTTCCTTAATGTGTTGCGTAAGAAAGCAATCGTCAATTAATTCTAGAAAATCTTCTGCTTCATTATTCCCTGTTTTGTTAAACCAATTTATTCCACTAAAATTAAAGTCACCCATGACACAAATACTGCTAGACTTGGCTCTAGATATTTTGTCCCACAGGTGCTTTGCTGCCATCCTATCTAAGTTTGGTGGCCTGTATATAACTCCTATTGTAAGATTATTTGCTTTTTCATTTAACACTTTCGCTCGGGGATGACGCAGCATTGCATCATCCGTTTACTGGCGGTAATGCCGGGGATGACGCAGCATTGCGTCATCCACTTTAAAAATTCGCCAAAAATCAGGTTTTTATCCGATTTTTTGGGGACTGGTTTTAAAATGCGCGCCGATGTCTTCCCATTTTCTTTGTTGTGCCTAGTGGCCCGCAGGCGGCGCAGCACACGCCGTCGGCCCATTGTTTTCGCTCCACTGTTGTGACCAATGTCGCCTCCCCTCGCATCTCAAACGTGTGAACATTTCGGCTATTTTCCGTGGCTATATTTCTTACTGCGGCTTCAGAAACTATCTACGCTTACTCCACGATGGATAGTGATCATGAACAAGGCCCTTCCAGGAAGAAAATTGCGAAAGAAAGGCGTAAAAAGCAGAAGCTGAGTAGTGTACAGGAGAAGTACAAGCATGTGAGACTAACTCCCTCAGGCTGTAGTTTCAGGCTGTATTTGACGATTTGTCTGGGTCATCTAGTGATGAAACTGATGTTGGTATTGATACTGATGCAAGTAGTGAACATTTAGTAACAGAGACTCGTCTGAGTCAGAAGACGAGGCTGTGATTATCACTAGTGGTGCCTCTGCTGCAACAAGACCCCGTATTGTGGATAATCCAGACCGCCTCAAAAGAAACTTGTCCCATACCCAAGTAAAGATACAGAAGCGTCTGAGGTGTCGTGTGTGCAAATTGTCGGGTAAAAGGAAGGACACACACTATAAGTGCACAAGACGTGTGATGTGGCATTGTGTCCTGCACCATGCTACAGCAAATACCATCGAAAGAGGAAATTCTGGGCCGATAAGCAGTAATGCTTGCCCACCATCCACTCCACCTATACAAAACATGGGTTGACCCTGCAGGAAACGTTTTCCAGGAGCAGGTGGAGTGGATAAAACAAATGTTCAACCCATGTCATGTTCAACACAACACTGAGGTGGTAAGTGCAAATTTTTTTATTATTTATTTATTTATTTTTTTTTGTTCATACTTTCCCGTATTGTACAGGCAATGTTGTTCTTCAATTGCCCCTTATATGCACATATCCATCTGAAGAATTCTATTAGGAACATTTTCATACCTAAATGAGCGCTGTAACACGAAAATTGAGATTACCACCAGGAAATAATACTAAACATATGTGGGCGGGAATTGGGAGTGTAGCGGGAAGGCGTCTGAGCGCTCACTCACGGCTAACGCGTGGCCCGTCTTCAACTCGTCGGCGGTTGGAGTGTGACCAGGTTTTTTATTTTATATGCTAATATTCCTCTAGAGAATTCTATTACGAACCCATTGACACCAAAATGAAAGACCTAGGACGAAAATTGAGGTGACCAGAGTGAAAATAGTGAAAACATTTTATCGCGTTTGCACGCTCCCGGGTAACTCGTTCGCACTTTCTCTGCTTGATGTGGGTAATTAGCCGGGCTTTTGGAGTTTATATGCATTTAGTGCTGTAGAGAATTTTATTGCGAACACAATGATACCAAATTTAATCTCGTAGAACAAAAATTGAGGTGACAAAGTTGAAGAGAGTATACACTTTTCGGAATTGACGCGCGCTTCCGTGACACGCTGGGGCCCATATCGCCCTGTCGAGGGGTGGCGCGCGGGGTGCGCGAAAGTGTTAATTCTATCCAAATAGTTTCTGTGTGTGGCTCAGTTTTGATTCCCTCTTTGAGACTACATTTCAAATTTTCCCTAACATATATGGCTACTCCCCCACCTCGCCTAATATATCTGTGTGAAATAGTTTAAATCCATTTATTTGATATTCAGCTAATAGTTCTCTATTTTCTACATTCATCCACGTTTCAGTAAGTGCAATAATATCTATTTTTTTCTGTGCAGACAAGAGCATTTAAATCGATTATTTTGTTTCTTACACTTCTTCTGTTAGTGTAATATACCCAAAGTGTATTGTTATTTTGAGGTCCTTCTCGTTCTCCTGATCATCTTGCCAATTTGTTTCGCCCACAAACACATACTTTTATTACCTCCTTTTTCCTTTTCAATTCCCATACCACTATCTTCTAACAGTTTAAAACCAAACCCAAACAAACGCCTCCAACCACTGGTTCTAACGAGTGGTTGGATATTCCTATTACTATCCCCTTTATTTACACCTTACCTTTCGAACCTCTTGCCTTGCTTTTTCTTCCTCTTAAGATTTCCTTCTCCTCACCTCTCTCTTGTCTATTTATTGCCTTTGCCTCCTTCCCTCATCACAATCAACTTGAGAATGGTCCAGGACGGACCGAAACGTTGCCGTCCCTTCACTTTCTAGTGTGTGGGATTGGTTAACATTTTTCAGCAACGTTATTGTGACTCCTCATCTGCATTATGAACCAAACACTAAGCATGCCCCCCCCCCCCACCCACCTGCACTACAACTGTTTCAAGAAATGCTACATCACATAAAAAACAGACACAAAGACATGAGCAAACAACTGCAACGAGCATCATGGGTGGTAACAGGCACAAGAGTGATCTGGTACCACATATGATAATTGTTTACCATTATTTTGCCTGTTTTACTTTTATTTAATCAGGTCATTATTTTTTGTTTTGCTTGTAGTTTCTGGATGTTTTTCCTCAATTTAAAGTGATATCTGATCCCCCAAGTTCTCCTTGCCTTTATGAGCACACCAAATTCTGGTCATAGTGTTTGATAGGCCTGCAAGTCCAGATGCTTGGCAGCATTACAGGCACATCTTTGGTACTAGAGCCTATTGCACCAGGGAGCTACTGAGGAGTCAACCCAGAAACAATAAACCTTCCTCCATTAATATGGGTTCAAACACATGCAACAAGCTTCTACAGGGTATTAATCATATAACAACAGTAAAAGATAAAAATGATAAAAAAAGAAAGATACAATAAATAAAAACAAGAGAACATTGCCAGTCTTCAAGTACTGTAGCAGACCAACTGGCCTTGTTGGTTGTCCTGGCAAGCATACTAACAAAGGTTTACACGCATTCATATATTTACAGTGTGCATTCTTTTGCTAAATCATTCTCAACAATTACACCTCCAATCTCTGTATACATTCAAGTTTCACTCACAAGTTGTGGCAAGTAAAACAATCCATGCTGGAAAGTTTCATGAAAATCAACTGATATACTGATATCTAGTCACTAATGGCACATTCACTATTTTAACTACTGCTCCATTTATAGCTCATTCATTGTATTTTAACTAATATTTTTAATAACAGGATTCTTTCTACTTTCATTTTTTGTTGTAAATCTTTTTAGACTTTATTATTCACTGCATATTTTAAATCTCAACATATTAACATTTTCACCGAACACCATTTCTAATGGCATATCCACCTTACATTTCTACACCCTTGCTTGTAGCCTTATCTCTGTGTTTATACAAATATTTATATTTTAAACTTGCTTGAAACAACAGTGATCACTTACTGTCCCTCAGAGTCAATTGCGAGGATTTCAAATGCCTTGCTCAGCTGCTGGCGCTTACTGAACACTGTTTTTCTCACTTCATTCTGCCAGAAAGAAAATACCTTTGCAGTTTATATTAAGACGATGAACATAGATGTATTAATGCAGTATTGTACTGTAAAACTGATTGGTTAAACATCAGAAAACAATTAAGAGTAAGACAAAGAGGAGATAAACAGTTTTGCAAGAAGTGTTGATTAAACTCCTTATACTTGTGATCAAATTTATGTAGGAAAATCTGTTAAAACTTAAATAGAAATAAAGTGAGTATAAATATGTTTGTAGAGCATAGATTACAAATAACATACCAGAGAATCATAAAATTGATAATGACCTTTCTGCTCAAAGTTTTGGATACATAAAAAGAACATAATGAAGCAAAGACATTCAAAATTAATTTGTATAGATATCTACCAACATCATAAATCGTCAAAAGACAGTCGCACTTACAACATCTCGTATCGTTATAAAATCTGATCCAGATTTACATTTTTTTATTATATTTTCACAACAATGTTACAGAGTTTCTTCATACTAACAATGTATAAATAATGAAGACAAACTGAATAAATTAAAAGAGTTTTACAACTTACAAGCACTTACAAGAGTGCTTGTAAGTTTCTTGATTAAACTCATTAATTACTGTAACAAGATTCTGTGAATTTTTCTCTTAAACTCTACAAGAAATATTGACTTCATTGGGATTTTTTTTTTGTCAGAAAGCAGTGAGCATGCCAACATCAGCCTTGTCAGATTCCATCATTACTCCAGCGCTGATCGCTCTTCTGTATCAGTATAGAACAATATAACCTTTTCGTTCATGTTATGATACCTCTTCTCTGTTTTGCCTGGTCTACTCATACTGTTAAATATTTTCCATGCTCAAACAATATTAGATTAAAAATTCGTAAGTATTCATGAATAATGAGAGGAAACACATGAAATGATTACCACACTCCACGGGCAGCTTTCTCACTCCCAATCTACACCACTTTTCAACACCAATTAAAGCTCTTCATCTATGTTAGGTTGTTTCTTCTTGCTCCTACTTGTTCCAGACAAAACAATTTCCTGCCACATATTTTCTACCCACAAATCAATATCAATAGAAAAATGCATGTCAATTATTGAGAAAGCAACATCAGAAATGGCATCAGATATGCCAGAAGCTTCCGATTCAATGCAGATGCAAACAGGTCCATTGTACAGTCTAAATATTATTATTATAATTATAATTATAACTATTATTATTACTGGGTAATAATAATAATAATAATATAAATAATAATAATATAAATAATAATAATAATTCTCTTGTGAACACCATAAGGTATTCATATCGGGGACATAGACGTCCATGGTAAGAATTCCATATTGTTTTCATGGAAATACATCTTGGCATACATACCTTGGAGTTCAAATTTAAACTGGTTCACTCAACAAATATTTCTAAAATATATGGCAAAAATATAAGAAAACGAATCTTTATCTGTATATAAAGTCTATCTTGGCCAAGACAATAGAGGTGAAAATCAGCTTTAGGGACACAAGGAGATACAGCTTTCATAATAATCCTACAAAATAATAATGCATTATAAACACCAGAGAATAATGTGGGTTGTGCTTCTGTACCGACTGTCCAATGGACAAACTTGATGCATTTTTTGTCTTCTGCAAAACCTATTTGAAAACCAATTATATCCTTTATATTGAATGCACACTAAAATTAAGACATACCTTAAGATGCTTTCTGTAGTTGTTATAGATGACAGCAAGAATGATGTTCATGTAGATGAAGAAACATATCACAAGAAAGGCCACAAAGAAGATCACATAGTACGCTGATTCATCAAATGCTGGCATCCTGATTAGCAAGAAGAAAATATATACTGAACAGCATATCTAATATATAAATAAATAATACACACAGGAAGGATTCTTGCCCCCCCTCCCCCATAACCCCAAAAAAACAACGTTGAATATAATGAAACGCCATTTTCTGGGCGAGACCCAGAGGCTCCCCAAAGCTATCCGGGCTGATATGAATGTGTTAGACCCTAGCATCAGTCAAGCAAATGGAGTTCTAGGCCTACTGGGGGACCACGAACAAGAATCTGGCTTCTTCAGAGGTACGAGGAGCAATGGTCTAGAGCAGGGGTCTCCAAACTTTTCAATGTAAGGGCCACATTATATATTTCCCATATTTATGCGGGCCGGAGGAATAAAAAATGAAATTGCTATTTTGTATAACTAAGATAAAGGCATTGTCAAAGTACAGAGAAAAGAATATTGTACAGTGTTTGTGCTCCCTGAAACGGAAGCAGCGAAGCCCCACTCGCCCTCCATCCCCACAATATACAGTTATACACAACTGATTGGTTGTAATGCACAACACATACCTACCAGTATTAGTATCTGTGCGTCACACTATCGAGAGAGAGGAAAACTGACTCGGGTTGAGCGCCACCAGTCAGCAGCCCCAGCTTTGAATAATTCTGCGATGCCATTCGTACGATAATTATTTTTTCAAGGCCACCACACAGGGATTTGTTTGGAGGGCCGGATGAAATTATGTGGCGGGCCGGATGTGGCCCGCGGGCCATAGTTTGGAGACCCCTGGTCTAGAGAAACCTCCGTGTGGTTGGGAGCATTCAATATCTGTCATTGACTGGGTCAGGTACCTATAAAGGTAGGTGCCCCAAAACAAATCCTATCTGGTTAAAATATTGCTACTGAAGGCCAAACTGTTGGACAGAACTTCCCAAGCGAAAAACGAGATGATGTCACAGTCATCAACACGCTGCTGTCTGCGCAGCTCCCCCTCTCTGAGAGGGGAAAGAGGCCATCCCAGACCCTCCAACAAAAAATCTAAGAGGGACAAAAATCCAAGAGCCAGGGCCCAAGCGGATTCCAAAGAGTGGACGAGGACCACCCGTCGGGACGCGAGGCGTGAAGCAAAGAACAGAGATACCACTTCCTTCAGAATCACCGCAAACAACTTCAACAAGGCAGCTGAAGCCGGAGGCAAGCGCACCGGACGCAGGCCCGGAACCTAGCTCCTCCACATCCTCCTCGAGCCAGTCCGAAGACAGCTCCAGGAGAGAAAAGCGCAAGACCAAAGCCAAATATTCATGGGTGTGCAAATTCTCAGCTACCAAAGATGCCAAAAGGGAGGGAACCTGCATGTGAAGGTATTGCATAACCTGGTCGATATCACGAGGAAGGACAGGGGGTGAACAAGCATGCATTGAGGTGCTCCAACTCGCCCCCATGGGTGAGTCAATGACCTAACAATTGTAGTCAACTCCCACCACTCAAGCGTGCGGGGTCCGACAGAATACATGCCATGCCCCCATCGAAAAGAAAGGGCAGTCCGCCAGCCAGGAAGACTCCAGCACCTCGTAACGCACCCAGTAAGGAAAAGAAGCATCAAACTCAAAATAAGAAGGATCCACTATTGAGTCGTAATCCCGGGTCTCGCAGGTGGTAAGCCACAAGGGCCTCCCACACCTCCCGAGGTGGGATGCGGAAAGCCAAAAACCTCCGGAAGGAAGGAAACCGGAACTGAATCGGGGGAGGAGCCAAACTCATATCAAATTCATACATGGAGGGAGAATACGAAAACCCTTCCTCCTGGAACAAGCCCTGCGCCGAGGGTACCAACACCCAAGTGGGGTCAAATGGGGCCCAAGAACCCCCCCAAGTCAACTCCTCCCCAGCCTCAGGGTCCTCCATGTCAGGACCTAGGGCTGAGCCGTCCTCCAAACCCTATGCCTTTGGAGAAAAGGCAGAGTCCACCAGAAAAGCAGGGATGAAGGGGGTCCTCTGGCATGACCCAAAAACGCCAGCAGGAGGAACAGGCTCGAATGCCTCCGCTGCCGATCCAGATGGGGCAGTTCCTGAGGCCGCTCGAGTCTCACCACCAATAAAACCCTGCCCAGACTCTGAAACCCTCACTTTTAGAAGTCGGGAGCAGAGGATAGGGAGGGAACAGGATAAACCACAGCAGAGGGAAGGACAAGGGGGCACGGACGAAACCAAAGTCAAAGCAACTAGTGCCCATAAGTCCAGGTCCCTATAACCAAAGTGGGGCAGCCGTGTGGCATCCGGAAAGACAATTAACCTAGAGTGTTGCAGCAACCTAAACTGCGCATGCAACGCAGATGCTGCCTGCACCCAATGAACAGTAGACTGGAGAAGAAGCAAGGAACACCACTCGCAGGACTCCGGGACAAAGGTATCATTGACCCAACAGGCAGCATGGTGGAGGCAAAGATGATTGTCACCCTGAGACAAGGGGACAAACCCTCAAACTCTCACAAAACGAGGTGGGACTCAGGATTCCTCCATCGGTCCAAGAAGCCCCAATGGGGATTTCTAGGGCCCCATAGGCTGACTGCTAAGGGAAGCCCAGGCAAGATACTGCTAATCGGTTATCCCAGAGCTACCAAACTAAAAGCTGAACCCCTGTGACATGTTTAATCACGGAGACCTATCTTGAGATGATTTCGGGGCTTTTTAGTGTCCCCGCGGCCCGGTCCTCGACCAGGCCTCCACCCCCAGGAAGCAGCCCGTGACAGCTGACTAACACCCAGGCACCTATTTTACTGCTAGGTAACAGGGGCATAGGGTGAAAGAAACTCTGCCCATTGTTTCTCGCCGGCGCCTGGGATCGAACCCAGGACCACAGGATCACAAGTCCCGCGTGCTGTCCGCTCGGCCGACCGGCTCCCCTCCCACCTAGAGGAGGGCCACCAAAATACAAGTGGACCTATAACCACACAAGGCAAGCCCCCCCCCCCTCCAGGCAAACAAAAGAAAAAGAAAAAGAAAAACCCCATAAAAGCACAACGTCTCCAGGGAAACGGAACTGGCTGCTATGAGTATATATGACAGCTGCACAGTACCTTGCGCCCCAGCCAGCGATGATACTACTACCTACCCAAGGTCAAACAGGATTAAGAACAACCCCAGCTGACCCCAAGGACGGGCAATCACCTACCAGCAAAAGAACCACACGGAGGTAATCTCCTGAACATCTTATGGAAGATAACCCTAAACCGCAAGGGCTGTACTTACAGGGCACTTGGGGAAGGTTGCCCTAGGCGCATGCAGTCCCATTACTCTTGTGTTACTCCTGGCTCATACACCACCAACACAGTAGAACAACACTGCTATGGATAGCACTGCTCAAAAGGATGGAGTCAAGAGTTGATGAACCACCATCAAACACAACAGTCCTGAACTGAGGTTAGGTAGCCAGTGTGAGGGGGGGGCCTGGGGCTCCCCCTTCCCCTTCCCGGGGAGAGGGGAGTTACGCAGTCAGCGGCGCGGTGGCTGTGGTGACATGTTTGTTTGCTCTATTTCTGAATGGGGAGTTCTGCCTGCTCGTTTGGCTTTTGGTTTGCAATTTCACCAGCTGTAGTTTGTTTTGAGATTCCTACCTTTCTGGGTGCCTGACCTGGTAGATGGCAGACATAGACTGTTTCCAATTACATGGGAGTCTCTATAGGCCATTGCTCCTCATACCTCTCTGAGAGGGGCCAGGTTTCTACTGAGGACCGAACTCCATCGATTGAATGTTGCCACAGTCTAATATATATACACATCAGCCCTGTATAGGTTAGGGGAGCCGAAGGGGCTCTCCACAGAAATGGCATAAGTTATATCTATCAGAGATAACTAGATAAAAAGAATGGCAAAATTATATTACAGCACTTGTATTTAAAATAAAATAAAAATTCTTACATTACATCAGGGTTGTTGGCAGTTGTGACCAAAACATAAAGGTCGAAGAGACTATCCCAGTAAGTTCCAAAGTAGGGCCGGCCATCCACCCACGTCAGATTCCTATGAGAAAACTTTTGGATTATAGGTAATATGATCAAAATTTAAATTTAATTTGCTCCATTCAGTCTTCTCCAAGCAATTTTATTTCACAGGAAGCCTCAATCTCTCTCTCACTTGGTACAAGGGGACAAAAGCTGAAGTGAACATGTTACCGAGATATAAGGAACACATGCTCATATGTAAATGACAGATCAATGGGATCAGGGACATACCAAACAAGACAACTGATAGGGTTTGCGATATAAGAGCTGGAACACTTAGGTAAATACAGTTAGTTTAAGCAGTTATGGGAATCATAAATCAAGAATGATATAGGAATGGGTATGACACCAGCTTATTGCCGGAGGCGCGTGCACACACACACACTTCATAAAGCTCATCCTGAAGACATTCATGTATCAGCACATTCAACAAGCTATGAGGGTGAGGGGAAGGGATGTCCTTTTAGGAATAAAGTATGCAATGTGATATAATCTAGAAGAGAATGAGGAAGTTGAAGCACTTCAAAAACCTAATTTCACATGAAGACACTATGGGGAACTTCTTTAAGGAATTTGATTGGAAAGTCTTGCTATTGGGCAAGGAAGTAAATTAGTTGTATGTCAAGTTTTGTGAAATATATAAAATAAAAATAAAAAAACCAGCGTTGAATGTAATGAAATGCCATTTTCTGGTCGAGTCCTAGAGGTTCTCTGGAGCTATCGGGCTAATATGTGATATATTAGACTAAGGCATTAACCACTGCACTGCTCTGCTTTAACCCTTAGATCGCTTTAACCCTTAGGGAGGGAGGGAGGAATGGATGGATGGATGGATGAGCGGCAACTAGCAGAAGCCGCCTGGAGAAACTGAGACACAACCGAATCTGCAAACAATAGCAGACAAAGTGGAGATGAAAGCCTAAGAGCCAGGGCCCAAGCAAAATCCACAGAGAGAGCGAGGACAGCCTGCCAACACGCGAGGCGGGAGGCATAAAAAAAGGACACCGCCTCCCGGAGGATAGGTGAAATAAAACAGCTTAAGCAACACTACCGACGCCCTGGCCGCCGAAGTCAATATGGCAAACGACGACCAGGCAGCCAACTCCTCTACATCCTCCACAAGCTCGTCAAAGGGCAGCTCAAGAAGGGAAAAAGAAGCGAATAATTGAAACCAAATGCCTCCAAGCGCGAAGATCTTCCGCAGCCAAAGCAGTCAAAAGGGAAGGGACCTGGACGTTCAACTGGAGCACACCACATTCATGAGGAAGCACAAGGGCACACAAGCACACATTAAGATGCTCAAATGCACTCCCAAAGTACACTTGCAACACCGTAATGAGCTCCCGCCACTCAAGCATGAGGGAACGACAGAACGTATGCTACGCCCCCAACGAAAAGAAAGGGCAGTCTGCAAGCCAGGAAGACGCTGGCACCTCGTAACATATTCAATACGGCAAAGAAGACCCTAACTCAAGAGAGACTGGGTCATGTACTGAGGAGGAAGCCGGGTCTTGCAGGAGGTATGCACCTAGGCCTTCCAAATCCCTGCAGGGAAAATTCGAGAGGTCAAAACTCTCAAAGGTCAAGGTCAAAGTCAAAGAGGTCAAAGCAGCCGCAAGCCCAAGGGGGTGGGAAGGGGGGAGTCAACCCAATATAAAATTTGTACAAGGAAGGGGAGGGGGCGTACAAAAACCCCGAATCTTGCAACAGCAGGCCCCGCCCTGAAGGGACTAAAACCCAGGCAGGATCGAAAGGGGTCCAAATGCCCCAGGCTGCCTTCCCCCAGCCCCGGAATCCACCAAACTAGGATCGGGGTAGAGCCATTCTCAACGTCCTCCATCCTTGAAGGAAAGGTAGAGTCCAAGGGAAAGGCATCCAAGAAAGGGACCTTCTGAAAGGACCCAGGAGCCTCGGCAGGAAGAAACGGCTCAAATGCCTCCATCCCTGCAGCGAATGAAGCAAACCCTGGAGCCGCCCAACCCTCATCCCCAGCTAAACCCTGCCCCGACTCCAAAACCCTCGGATGTTTAGGAGCTGGAAATAGGAAGGGGAGGGGGGAGGAGGAGAACAGTGAACCACACCAATAAGGGGAGAATGAAGGGGCATGGACAGAACAACCAAAATTGAAGCAACCAACACCCCCAAGTCCCGGTCCCTGTGACCAAAATGGGGCAGCCCTGGGGCATTCGAGCAGCCAACCAATTGTGCGTATTGCAGCTACGTAAACCTAGCATGTAATGTGAGAGCTGCTTGACCCCTAACCTCAGCCGTAGCATTATGGGTAAATTGAAGGACGAGCAGAGAACAAGTCTCGCAAGACTCCACGTTGAAGGTGTCGTTGACCTAACAAAGCAGCATGACTGAGGCAATACAGGTGATCGTATCAGGGGCAACGAGCATCCTTCAAACTCGCACAAGGCAAGATGTGACTCGGATGACTCATCCATCGTGGTCAACAAAGTCCCGATGGGGGTTTTCCAGGGAGAATGCAGGGGAATACATCCCTATGGGAAACCCAGGCACAGAACTGCTAAAGCTGGTTGTATCCCCATAATATAGCCAGGCAAATTAGCCCCTGTGAGGTGAGTAACCCCAGAGGCCCAGAGGAGGACTGCTCTACTGAACCTAGGTAGCACCTAATATGGACTGTGGCAACCTCCCAATGGGCAATAAAGTAAACTAAAGAATGAAAGAGAACTTCGAGGAAGCACCACAACCTAGACACGTCTGAAAAAGTCATGGCTGCTGCGATTATGCAAGCTGGGCAGCCCAGTGCGCCCCAACCAGCAACCACTCCCTACCCAGGGTCAAATGAAAGGACCGAGACCTAAGCTGACCCTCATGGGCGAGGTAGCAAACCAAGCAGCCATATTACCCCTACGGGAATGGGGGACCCGAAGAACCCAGAGAAGAGAATCGGAACCCCAAGAGGTGTACTCACAAGGCACCTAGGAAAGGGCGCCCTAAACACATGTAGCCCTTAGTACAAACAGCCACCGCCAACACACAGAAGGAACACCAGCAGGGTGAAGCCAATCGGGTAATCGAGACCAGAGCAGGCATCCACTTGTGTGTGTGTGTGTGTGGGGGGGGGGGGGAGTTTCTCGCCTCTGTTCGGTCTGTGGTTGCAATATTTCTACCAGGTGGGGTCTGTTTTGAAGCGCCTACCTTTCTGGGTTCTCAACCCTGATCGATGGCAGACATGAATACTTTCATACATGTGAGTTTCATAGGCCATTACTCCCTTCACCTCCCTGAGGGGACCATGTTCTGGCTGAACAGCCCTGTACTAATATTAGCTAATATCAGGCCAGTAGCTCCAGGGAGCCGATGAGGCTCCCCCACAAAAAAAATGCCTTTTGACAGTTTCACAAGAGGTTATTCTGGAAACACTGGAGTGACGGGGAAACTTTTAACATGGATGAAATTTTTTTAACAGACAGAAAAATGAGGAGCAGTAATTAGAGACAGTGTATCGGACTAGAGAAATATCAAGTGGAGTACCTATCTTGAGGCTATCTTGAGATGATTTCGGGGCTTTAGTGTCCCCGCGGCCCGGTCCTTGACCAGGCGGCCACCCCCAGGAAGCAGCACGTGACATCTGACTAACACCCAGGTACCTATTTTACTGCTAGGTAACAGGGGCATAGGGTAATAGAAACTCTGCCCATTGTTTCTCGCCGGCGCCCGGGATCGAACCCGGGACCACAGGATCACAAGTCCAGTGTGCTGTCCAATCGGCCGACCGGCTCCCACAGGGTTCAGTTCTTGAACTGGAAATGTTCTTTGTCTACATAAACAACCTACGAGATGGAATACAGAATTAGCATTATCAGCAAACATGTTCATATAAGATGCTACAGAAGATGAGACCGAGACAATTGTCATGCCCTTCAAGAGGACCTGGACAAAATAAGTGTACCATGACCTAACCTGAGCCAGGGCCCAAAATCCACAGAGAGAGCGAGGACAGTGCCAACACGCGAGGCGGGAGGTACCATGTAGCAGCTGTATGGTGCCTACATCCAACCCATCCTCCTGTTTAGGTAGTACTTATAGTAATGATGAGGACCATTGTACAAACATTGACATAAAAGACAATTAGATAGTAGAAATAGGTACAGTACTATTGAATTTGGACAAAAGGGAAAAGGTTTTTAATTTATGTTGCAAAGAAAACAAACTAACATCACCTAACCATCCTAGTTATTAAGTCAAAGAAGTTAAGAAAATATATGCGAAAGTGTGACGGAAACTATAATGCCAATTACAGAAAACCAGGTTGACTGTACCTGTAGTACAAAATTATAAAACAAAGACATACAGCACAGGAATCTTAGTTTATTTTTAGAAGGTAATAAAAATATGGTTTACAAGGATGTCACTCAAGTACAGGGTACAAAATAGCATTAAATTATTTTTTTGAAGATATTAGTGAGTGCTATTACAGAGATGAAATGTAATACAGTAAACTCTCAATTATTAAGATGACTTGGCAATCAACCCACATTCACTTTATTACATGTCTCTTAATACCAGCCCATCCTTTATGATGGTCTAACACTGTCACTTGTATCGTACAATGTGCGTTAGTTCATATTTGTATTTATGCATACAAAGCATAGCTACAGCAAGTAAAACTTCAAGTCTATAACAATACTTTTTAAGCAAGATATAGAAAATTCTACCAAATCTAACCAAATCATCCAACACCTAATGTAGGCCAAACAATTGTGCCCAAAAAAATTTCTTTAGCACACACAATCTAACCTACAAATCTATATCTATTGTAGTATGTATATACTGGACTGTATTACAGACATAAAGCTTGAAAATGAGTTGAATATGCCATGGGACACAATGAAGTTTAATATAAATACTCAAGTGTAATGTATACATTATACACTGTAAGTCTTGTATATAAAACACAAGTGCAATACCCAAATAATTAAATAAATGGTGAATTCTGATAATTGATAGTTTACTGCAGCATACTCAAAATTAAACAGATTTTCTGTATTAGTAATGTAAACTAGTGCAACATTACAAGCAAATTAGTCCTTAATTGAAAAACACACCCTTAAACTGGTGATTTATTCCAAGACATCATATAAAAGCTATTGCAAAACACAGAAATGTATTAGTATAAAGCCATTAAACCTTTTCTAACCTGCCACCAAACAACTTGAAAGCCATGAGAGCAAATATAGCCAAACTGAAGAAGAAGAGAAATAGTACATTGACCACATCAGGAAGCGTTCGTCGGAGGTTACGGAAGGATCTTCTGATCTGACGCATCTCGGGAAAATTCACAGCAAACAGCGGTCGCAAAACCCGAGACCACCTGAAAAGTTACTTGGGTAATTTATTGTGCATAATGGAGAAAACAATAGGTCATGATATTTATGACAAATATAATTTCATTATAAAATGCAATTTGAAAATCCATAATTTCTAGCGTGTATCTAAGGAAATGAGTATAAAACACAAAATTGTTCCTATAATACAATCTTGAAAATTTGAATCTCAAAATAACAGAAACCTCAAAATATTGAAACATTTGGTAATGGAACAGTTAGCCCTAATTTAGACAAGGACACATTCCTAAAACATCATGATTGGAAAGGATACTGGAAGAGGTAGTAAGTGTTAAATACTTTTGGACAGTGTTAGATAAAATTTGTATTAGGGAAGATGTAATAAGAGAGGATAATGTGTGTGGAAGAAGAGGGGTAAAAGAGGTGACTGAAAGGAAGGAATGTTGGTATGGTAGTTAAGATAGGGCAGAGATAGTAGAGTACTGTATACTACTCCCAGCCAATATTTAAAAGTGAAATTTGGGTATAGAAAGGGCAAAGTGCTCAAGAGTACAAGTAGAGGAAATTAGTTTCTTTAAAGCATCTGGTGTAAGTGTGTGGGATATGTATAGCAATGAGGAAGTACAATGGCGCCTCGATTAAAGAGTTTAATCCGTTCCGGCACCGAGCTCGTCATGTGGAAAACTCGTCTTTAGAAACTAATTTCTCCATTTAAAATAATGTAAATAAAATTAATCCGTTCCACCGCCGAAAAACATCAATATGATATTCGATTATTTAAACAATGGAGCAGCCTACCTGACATACACTGAACAAACCTTTGTGACATTTGTCCGTTTTTCAAATTTGTTCATTTTTTATTTTTTTCATTTTTATAGCAAAAGGTTTGTTCAGTGTATGTCAGGTAGGCTGCTCCATGTTATAAAAAAAAAAAAAATTGGAAAAACGAACAAATGCCATACAGGTTCGTTCATTGTTTGTCGGGTAGGATGCTCCATTATGACAATCTTTCTTTGTTTCAAATGTGTTCAATTTGTTTTTCATTTTTCATTTATTTATTAATAATGGAGCAGCCTACATGGCACACACTGAACGACCCTTTATGACATTTGTCCGGTTTTTAAATTTGTTCAATTTTAGTTTGTTATTTTTTTGTTATAAGAAACATGGAGCAGCCTACCTGATACGCACTGAACGAATCTTTTTGACATTTGTTCTTGTTTCAAATTTTTTGATTCTACAAAAAAAATTCAATGCTTTGCAACATAACAGCAATCACCCCTTTACATCCCAGCATCATTATCATCTTTAAAACAAATATATGATTTTGCATCGTCGGAGGTGTCCGAGAATTTGCAAGAATCAGCGGGAACGCTAGGAAGCACCACATGGTTTTCTCGTTAATGGAGTGGAAGCTCGTCAATCGAAACAAATTTTCAGCGAGTGGCTCACTCGTTACTTGAAATGCTCGTAGACAGAGCCGCTCGTCACTCGAGGTTCCACTGTATATGAGAGATGTTATACGAGTGAAATTTGTAAGGGAAGGGAAGGAAAGGGAAGGGAAGGGAAGGGAAGGGAAAGGAAGGGAATTATAAGGAGAAAGTGCCAAGCCATTATGACTATACAGCATTTGAAATGGATCAGGATAAGGAGTTGGGATGGAACAGAGGGAAAGGATTGGTGCCCAACCATTTGGACGGTCGGGGATTGAAAGCCAACCTACATGAAGCGAGGCAGTTGCTCTACCGTTTAACCCAAGTGGTTGGGCAAGTGTTGAGGGAATGAAATGTTAAGTTGTGGAGAGAGTGAAGGAAAATATATTGAGGTGGTATGGGCATGTCAGAGAATTGTTTTATGAGAAGGGTGTACAAGGTTGAAGTAAAGTGATCATATGGTTGAGGTGTATGACTGGTATCTTTTGCCCAAAATGCTTCAAAATGTCTACTGTATTGTCTATTATGAAGAAAATAATATTAGCCCTATGAAGTAATAGTGGCTTTATTAGTTTGAGTAACTCCTGTCCCCACAATTGTACGTTACTCTTATATTCATTGTACACACATTCTTTTGAACAAAAACTTGAATTAGGATTTGAAAGGGTAAAGTGGAACAAGACTGTAAACGAAAAAAAGGGAGGGAAAGTTTGTGGTGATAAGAGCCTCCTCAAGAAATGATTGCAATGTACCCCACCTCCACCTGATACGGGACCTTCGGGAATGAGAATAACTATAGATAGAATATGCCTGGCATCAGTAGTAACCCTGTTAATAATTAAAAATAATTCACTGTGTTGGGGTTCAGACAGCCAGTGTATTCATACACATTAGGCTTATATCGAGGTTCCCTCCCCCCCCTCCCCAAGTTCAAATTACTGACTCTGCCCAGGATGCAACCTCACAACAAACTGACTAATTCCTGAGTACCTACTTACTGTTAGGTGAAGAGGGACAATAGGTGATATCAAAATAAGCCTAACTATTTCTGTCCCGGCCAGGATTCGAAACCAGAAATTCTCGATTGTGAGTCGTGAATGAACCTGACTGTACCATACTACTGGAACCCAAAGCAGCAGTTATAAAAGAAACAATCACCTAACAATTGCAAAAGAGCTTAATTTATTCAGAAAACTTGAGAAGAGTTGTTCTACTGCTAAATTAGTAGAACATAACATCAAAAAAAGCACTGCAGCAACAAACAAATGTATAACCAAAAGCTAACATACTTACCATCATATGTTCAACACACAGTTTTCCATCCCTAGTATTTTCTAGTAAGTCATATATTCAATCACAGATAAATACAGGAACTGTTACCATGCAAAAATGACATGCATTTCCTTTCCTAAGAATTATAAACAGTAATATTACAGGAATCTTCAGGGGTCCTCGTTACATTCCATTCCATTCACACGTGCTCTTATTACCTGTTAACAATCCATGCTCTTATTACCTGTTAATAATCCATGCTCTTATTACCTGTTAACAATCCATGCTCTTATTACCTGTTAACAATCCATGCACAAGCTACTAACAAATAATGCCAGGGCATTTTAACCCTTTCACTTTGCACCTGTTTCATGTGACAACTCTATGGTGCGCACAAAAAAACAGCATTGAATGTAATGAAAAACCATTTTCTGGGCAAGACCCGGAGGCTCCTCGGAGCTATACCAGGCTGATGTGTATATATTAGACCATCGCAACAGTCAATCGAAGTAGCTCTAAGCCTACCGAGGATCGGAGCCAGAACCTGGCCCCCCTCAAGAGAGGCACGAGGAGCAACAGCCTAAAGATACCCCCGTGTAATTGAAAGCAGTTTTTGTCTGCCATCTACCAGGTCAGGCACCCAGAAAGGTAGGAATTTCAAAACAAACTACTGCTGGCCAAAAAATTGCAAACTGAAAGCCGAAAAAGCAAACGGAACTCCTCAATGAAAAACCGGGAAACAACATGATGTCACCACAACCGTCTGCGCAACCCCCACCTCCCTGGGAGGGGAATGGGGGGTCCCAGACCTCACGCCGGCAGCTTTCTGTCCACCAGGACAGAAAGAGCAGAAACCCCTGTGCCGGAGAAGAGCATGAAGCTCCCAACCCAACCCCCAGAGGCCAATGCCAACAAGAAAAAATAGAGCCTTAGAAAAACAGTCCTGAACCGAGGGGGACACCATAAACCGAGGAGAAGAGAGAAAAGAGAGCACCTGGTCCAATGAGCAGGACGGCGCAGGCAGTGTGAGCAGGCCGGAGGTGAAACACCCGAGAAAGCTTGCGGAACAGAGCAGAAGTGACATCCACCCTGAATGCAAGCTGCTACGGCTCCACCAGCACCGCACGATACGAGGTGACAGTATTCGGTAGAGACAAAAATGACTAAAGGACCGCCAGGAAATTTCATACTGCTGTCTAGACGAAACTCGCAGGTAGGACACCATCAATGAAGTCACCTGATCATCATACAAGTGGTGATACACCCATGTCAAAAAGACCAGACGCAAAGAGTGAAAGAGAAAATCAAACCAGCCACGGACCGAACCGGACTGATCTGCTGAAAGAAGTGGAGCCGCGGGAAGGCCCTCGGGTTCGGATAACGAGTAAGAAGCGCCTGAAACCAAGGCTGGCCTGGCCACCAAGGAGTCAACAGGACCACACTCCCCTGGTAAGTCTCCAACTGAGCTAGGATCCAGAGCAACAACTGGACCGGAGGGAAGAGGTACAGATAACTCCACTTCGACCAGTCCAGCCGAAAGGCATCGACCCCGACGCCCTCGCAGTCTGGGAAGGGCGCCACATAAACTGGAAGACACCTCAACCACGCTTATGCGAAGAGGTCCACCTCTGGGCGTCCGTACGTCTGGCAGAGCCAACTGAACGAGTTGGCATCGACCATCATTTCCGTGGAAAGGGGAATGAACCGAGACAGGCTGTCTGCCAGGACGTTTGACACCCCCTGAACATGAACTGCCAGGAGGGAGAGCCAAACCCTGAGAACTCAGCAGACGAGTCACCCGAAGCTACCAGCCCTCAAAGAACCAAGGACCGCATCGAACCCCCACGGTTCAGGTAATGAACCACCGGGGAGCAGTCCAAATGTAGCCAGATTGTTGCTCCTTGAGCGACCAGAATCCTCTAAAACGAATGCCACACCGCTGCAAACTCCTGCGCCATGCTGTGAGCTCAACGGAAGGACGGACCCTACCAACTCTGGCTGGCCTGGTGAGCACTTGTCACAAAACCCTAGCTGAGAGACGAGGCATCCGTGAACACATCGAGCGAGGGGCTTGGGGAGGCGCCACGCACAGAACGCCAAAAAAACCCACAGAGGAAGCCAGTGACGCAGCAGCTGACGTAAGGCTCCTGGGATCCGAATCTATCGATCGCGAGAGCGATCGATAGATTCCCCTGAACCCTGCCCCCGTAATCCATCTCCACCACACCCAGCACGAGCCAGTCCGAAGACAGACGGCTCCAACAGGGGAAAAGATGCGCAAGACCGAAGCCAAGTGCCCACGGGCGCACAAATCCTCGGCCACCTGGGATGCTGAAAGGGAGGGAACCTGCACGTGAAACCGCACCTGGCCGACACCATAAGGAAGGGACAGGGGTGAACAAGCACGCCTTGAGGTGCTCCAACTCATTCCCCAAGAAAACCAGAACGACTGTAGGCAACTCTCGCCATTCAAGTGCGCAGTCCGACAGAACGAATGCCAAGCCCCGCACGAAAAAAAAGCAGTCTGCCAGCCAGGAAGACTCCGGCACCTTGAAAGGCACCCAATAAGGAAAAGAGAAGCACAACTCAAAAAGAAGGCTTCAATATCGAGGCGTAATCTGGATCTCGTAGGAGGTAAGCCGCAAGGGGCCTCCCATACCTTCCTCGGTGGGATGCGGGAAGCCAAAAACCTCCAGGACGAGGGAACCGAAGAACCCAAGGGAACTCGGAACCGAACCCGGGGAGGAGTCGAACTCATAACAAAATCGTACAGGGAGGGGGATAGGAAAAATGGACCACTGAGCCCCAATGGGGGTTTCCAGGGCCCTTAGGCTGAATACTAAGGGAAGCCCAGGCGAGGTATTGCTAACTGGTTATCCCAGAGCTACCAAGCAAACAATCTAAAAGCTGAACCTCTGCGACGTGTGCAAGCATGGGGATCTAGTGGAGGGCCACCAAAAACCTACTAGTGGTCCTACCGCCACATCAGGTAGCCCTCCTCCAGGAAAAACAAAACAAAATCAAAAGAAAAACCCGGCAAAAGCACGTCTCCAGGTGAACAGAATCGGTCGCTATGCATATATCAAACGGCTGCACAGTACCTCGCGCCCCAGCCAGCGGTGAAACTACCTCCTGCCCAAGGGAAAACAGGAGCAAGAACCAACCCAGCTGAACCCCCAAGGGCGGGCAATCACTGAGCAGCGACAGAACCACATGGAGGTAGCTGCTCCTGAACGGCTCATGGAAGATAGCCCTGAGGCCGCAAAGGCAGTACTTACGGGGCACCTAGTGATGGTAGCCCTAGGTGCATGCAGCCCCAGTACTCCTGTGTTACTCCTGGCTCACACACTACCAATACAGAGCAACAACACAGCACTGCAGTACTGCGCAAAGAGTGGAGCCAGAGTGATCGAACGTTCACCATCACAACAGCCTTTGAACTGAGGAAAGTTGCTGGCGTTGAGGTCTGGGAAACCCCCCCTCCCCCCGTCCCCCTCCCATGGAGGGGGGGAGTTTGCGCAGACGGATGCGCGGTGGTTGTGGTGACGTTATGTTGTTTCTCGGTTTTTGATTGGGGAGTTCTCTTTGCTTTTTTGGCTTTCAGTTTGCAATTTTTTTGGCCAGCAGTAGTTTGTTTTGAAATTCCTACCTTTCTGGGTGCCTGACCTGGTAGATGGCAGGCAAAGATTGCTTCCAATTACATGGGGGTGTCTTTAGGCCATTGCTCCTCATGCCTCTCTTGAGTGGGCCAGGTTCTGGCTCTGGTCCCCGGTAGGCTTAGAACTCCTTCGATTCACTGTTGCCACGGTCTAATATATACACATCAGCCCGGTATAACTCCGGGGAGCCGAAGGGGCTCTCCACAGAAAATTAAAAAATGTCTTTTCCTTCTAATATTGTTAAAATCACAAGAAACAAAAAATACTTTGTTTAGCTTACTTTGGCTGTGGTAGTACTGAGGCCCCTCACACACAAGAGGTGTGCCTATGATTTTTTTCCAAGATGGTGTCTGTTTACTGGAGACCTGAGAAAGTGGAAGCGAGTCCTGTGTACCCATGGGGAGTTTTAAATCTTACACCAAGTCTAAAATCATTCCTGGTTGATGTGCGCACCACCAATGAAACAACCCTTGTTGATATGCACAGGTGAAGGGTTAATCAGGAATACTCCTTTGCATAAATTATGTTGCCATTCCTAGCCATTAATGTTGCATTGATTGTATTGCATGCTGACGTGCCAAAGGTCTACTGTCTAACATTCAAATCCTTTATGCAAGTTTTCAATTATATTACTTTTTGCTAACCTTTGTTGACAACTGCATCTCAAAATGTATTATAGTACTCTGTAAGCAGATATTTCTCTATTATTTCTATACCCTATGTTCATATTTATAAATACAAGAAAAAAAAACAATAGCTACCTATAATGTCAGGGGAAGATCTTGGACTCGACCTGCTTTGAGTGCTCAAGAGTTAGACTGCACTTGCATATAGATAAATATGATACATACAAGGTAATAATATTAAGCAAAAATTTAGCACAAATTGAAAAAGTTTAAATAAATATTTTAACTTACCGAATACCATAGTTGCCACTTTCTATTAGTCCAATATATATAACGATGTCTAAAAAAGTAAGCTGAAATAAAAATGCACACATTCAAATAAAACAAATGCTGATAAATTTTAAGAAAGAATTACACCAATTCAAGCAAAGATATATTAAAGGGAAAAGTTTAGTAATGCATAAATCTAATATGCTTCACAAAGCAAGTATTGTATATTAATGAATTGCTTTGCACTTGCAAACGTAAAAAAAAAGCATTGAATGTAATGAAATGCCATTTTTCTGGGAGAGTCCCGGAGGCTTCCCAGAACAATACTGGGCTGATATGCATGTATTAAACCGTGGCATCAGTCTATTCGATGGAGTTCTTGGCTACTGGGGACTGCGAGCCAGAACCTGGCCCCCTTAGAGAGGCACAAGGACCAATGGCTTATAGAAACCCCTATGAGGTTGGCAGCATTCCATGTCTGCCATCGACCGGGTTAGGCACCCAGAAAAGTAGAGATTCCAAAACATACTCTACCCAGTTACAAAATTGCTACCTAAAGCCGAACTGGCAAGAACAACTCCCCAATCTAATACAAGCAAACAAGCATGATGTCATAACCGCTGGTGCGCAGCTGTCTGAACAGCCGTCTGCAGAGGGGAAAGGGGGAACAGACCCCCTCACGCCGGCTATCCAGCCCCCAGTTCAGAGGCTGAATATCAGAACAAGAGTGGCCGCTACACACCAGCCAGCAAACGCCGCCACCTTCCCTCCCTCACCAACACCTCACTCGCCAACATTCCTCCTCCCACCATACTGTTTTTGCTTTTATTACACTAAAAAAAAAAAAAAAGTTATATTATATAAGATTCTACATGTTTTGTTTACCATAACTGTACAACTAAGCTGGTATGGTGAGTTCAGACAATAACAGAGGTCACCACACAGTCAGCTGACGCTCCCTCACCAAGATTGCTCTTCCCACCATACTACGCATAGCAATAATTATCACCACAATCCTGCTATTATCAGTATCCTGGTCATTTTTATCACAGTCAGGGGTCTTCTGTAATACTATCATCGCTAAATAATAGCAGTTACATATATATTTTGACATTTTTAGGCAATGATGTGGTCACAAGATGAACAGCAGTGCGGTTAGCTCATGCTACATGCGCCAGCCTTGGTTGCTTACTCAGCACCGAGGCTCTCACACCCAGGAATGTTACCCACTATTTTTTTTTTAAATGGTTTCTGTTTACTAGCCCTGAGGAAGCTGATGTGAACCCCGTGTAGCCGCGGGACATTTAAATCGTCGACGGTAGGTACCACTCAATTATAATAATAATAATATATTATATATATATAATATATATATATATATATATATATATATATATATATATATATATATATATATATATATATATATATATATTATTAAATATGACCGAAAAAGTAAGATTAATAATTCTAACACAAATTTTCTCAATCTTTCGTACATTACGCTTCACTGTTGGAGGTAAATCAAAAATCAATTCTCCAAAATTCATTTTTATTTCTAGTCTGACGCGACACGGGCGCGTTTCGTAAAACTTATTACATTTTCAAAGACTTTAGTTTCACAAATACACAACTGAATAGAACTTACGTATCTCCGATTTTATATCTACATTTGAGTGAGGTGGAAGGGGTGATGTGGCATTAACACAAGAGAGAACAAAATGTGGTATTAATAGGGTATTAATTTCATCAACACAAGACAGAACAAGAGTATTAATAGGGTATTAATTTCATCAACACAAGACAGAACACGAAACAATGGATATTGAATAGAAGTGTTTGTAGAAAGCCTATTGGTCCATATTTCTTGATGCTTCTATATTGGAGCGGAGTCTTGAGGTGGGTAGAATATAGTTGTGCAATAATTGGCTGTTGATTGCTGGTGTTGACTTCTTGATGTGTAGTGCCTCGCAAACGTCAAGCCGCCTGCTATCGCTGTATCTATCGATGATTTCTGTGTTGTTTACTAGGATTTCTCTGGCGATGGTTTGGTTGTGGGAAGAGATTATATGTTCCTTAATGGAGCCCTGTTGCTTATGCATCGTTAAACGCCTAGAAAGAGATGTTGTTGTCTTGCCTATATACTGGGTTTTTTGGAGCTTACAGTCCCCAAGTGGGCATTTGAAGGCATAGACGACGTTAGTCTCTTTTAAAGCGTTCTGTTTTGTGTCTGGAGAGTTTCTCATGAGTAGGCTGGCCGTTTTTCTGGTTTTATAGAAAATCGTCAGTTGTATCCTCTGATTTTTGTCTGTAGGGATAACGTTTCTATTAACAATATCTTTCAGGACCCTTTCCTCCGTTTTATGAGCTGTCCCCCGAGCTTAAAGCGGCAGCTAAAAGCCTTCGTGAGAACAAGGAGATAGTTGTCAGGAGAGGTGACAAGTCGCCAATATATGTCATTCTCAAAAAAGACGAATATCTGGCGAAAATGAACATCATACTCTCTGACCAAACTAAGTTCCAAAGGGTAACGAAGGACACTACAGCCGAATTAAAAGCAAAGGTCAACAAACTGATCGAAACTGTGAACGCCAAGAAATCCGGACTCCACCTGCCAAAGATCATTGGGGAATATAAACCTGGATATGCGTATGGAAATGTCAAGACGCACAAGCCTGGAAACCCACTTCGGCCAATCATTAGCCAGATACCCACACCCACGTACAGACTGGCGAAGCGACTCAACGGCTTGCTGACTCCTTATGTTCCTTGCGCCTTCAGCCTGAAGTCTCCAAAGGAATTTGTTGACTTACTGCGGGGCACACGGGCCACAGGGATAAGAGCCTCGTTGGACGTAGAATCGCTGTTTACCAACGTACCTGTGGACGAGACAATCGGAATGATAGCCGACAGAGTGTATCGTGATCCAGCCTGTACTCCTCTTGACATACCAGAAAATATTCTGAGGAAACTACTCCAAGCTTGTACTAAAGAGGCACCCTTCTTGAGCCCGGATGGGCACATGTATAAGCAAGTAGATGGGGTCGCCATGGGTTCTCCCCTAGGTGTCCTGTTTGCAAACTTCTACATGGGTACCATCGAGCAAAAAGTCTTAGTCGACATGAACTTGAAACCGGCCATATACTGCAGGTATGTTGACGACATTTTTACACAGGTACCTGATGTCAGATATCTGCAGGAGCTGAAGGAGGCATTTGAGCAGAGTTCCGTGCTGCGTTTCACTTACGAGATGGAAAAGGATGGGAAGCTGCCCTTTCTAGATGTAACAGTCATGGAAAAGGGCGGAGGTTTCCACACTGCAGTCTACACTAAGGAAACAAACATAGGAATGTGCCTAAATGCCAACAGCGACTGCCCAGACAGGTACAAGAGGAGTGTTGTTAACGCATATGTCGACCGTGCTCTCAGCCACAGCTCAGAATGGAAGCAAGTCGACGAAGAACTCTGTAGGGTAAGGCAGGTCCTAGTCAATAACGGCTTCTCCAATGGTTTCGTCGAAGACATCATAAGAAGGAAAGTGAAAAGCCATGCAACCTCTGAAGAGACAACTAACACAACACCTATACCCCCTATTAGACTATTTTACAGGAACTTCTTTTCCACAGCTCATAAAACGGAGGAAAGGGTCCTGAAAGATATTGTTAATAGAAACGTTATCCCTACAGACAAAAATCAGAGGATACAACTGACGATTTACTATAAAACCAGAAAAACGGCCAGCCTACTCATGAAAAACTCTCCAGACACAAAACAGAACGCTTTAAAAGAGACTAACGTCGTCTATGCCTTCAAATGCCCACTTGGGGACTGTAAGCTCCAAAAAACCCAGTATATAGGCAAGACAACATCTCTTTCTAGGCGTTTAACGATGCATAAGCAACAGGGCTCCATTAAGGAACATATAATCTCTTCCCACAACCAAACCATCGCCAGAGAAATCCTAGTAAACAACACAGAAATCATCGATAGATACAGCGATAGCAGGCGGCTTGACGTTTGCGAGGCACTACACATCAAGAAGTCAACACCAGCAATCAACAGCCAATTATTGCACAACTATATTCTACCCACCTCAAGACTCCGCTCCAATATAGAAGCATCAAGAAATATGGACCAATAGGCTTTCTACAAACACTTCTATTCAATATCCATTGTTTCGTGTTCTGTCTTGTGTTGATGAAATTAATACCCTATTAATACTCTTGTTCTGTCTTGTGTTGATGAAATTAATACCCTATTAATACCACATTTTGTTCTCTCTTGTGTTAATGCCACATCACCCCTTCCACCTCACTCAAATGTAGATATAAAATCGGAGATACGTAAGTTCTATTCAGTTGTGTATTTGTGAAACTAAAGTCTTTGAAAATGTAATAAGTTTTACGAAACGCGCCCGTGTCGCGTCAGACTAGAAATAAAAATGAATTTTGGAGAATTGATTTTTTATTTACCTCCAACAGTGAAGCGTAATGTACGAAAGATTGAGAAAATTCGTGTTAGAATTATTAATCTTACTTTTTCGGTCATATTTAATAATATATGTCTACAGGAAAGACTGCTACCAAAATATACTAATATATTATATATATACAGTATATATATATATATATACACATATACATATATATATACAGTATACACATATACTTATATATACATACATACACACACATATACATACAAGATGTGAGCAATTTGGTGACAGTTACTCAAATTGTATATAAACAATGTGCGCTGTTAAAGGGTTAGGCGGGATGCGGGAGGAAGAAAACCTCTGGAAGGAAGGGTATGAAGAACCCAAGGAAACCCAGCGAGGAGCCGAACTCATATCAATCTAGTAAAGGGAGGGAGGTAAGAAAACCCCCTTCCCCTGCAACAAGAATTCTGTGCCGAGGGGTCAAATGGGGTCCCTAGCACCCCAAGTCAACTCCTACCCAGCCCCAGGATCCTCCACAATAGGACCCGGGGCAGAGCAATACTCCAAACCCTCTGTCTCGAAAGAAAAGGCAGAGGCCACCAGAAAAGCTGGGAAAATGGGGGCCCGCTGGTCAGACCCCAAAGTGCCAGCTGGAGGAGCAGGCTTGAATGCCTCCATCGTCTAACCAGATGGGGTATCTCCAGAAACCGCTCGAGTCTCGCCACCATCTAAACCATGTCCCGACTCTGAAACAAAATGAAAAAAAGGCAAAAGAAACAAAAAGCAAAAGAAAAACCCTGCAAAGGCACAACATCTCCAAGAGGAATAGAACTGGCCGCTATGTATAATGGGAAACTAACTGCACAGTACCTTGTGCCCCTACAAGCAACGTTACTACCTTCTACCCAAGGTCAAACAGCAACAATGAAAATCCTAGCTGACCCCAAGGGCGGGTAATCACCGAGCAGCAAAAGATCCCTACAGAGATAGTTCCTGAACAACTTGAGGAAGGTAACTAAGCCGCAAGAGCAGTACTTGCAGGGCACCCAGGGAAGAGAACCCAAGGCACATGCAGCCCCAGTACTTCTAGAATTACTCCTGGCTCGCACACCACAACACAGCAGAACAACACCGCAAGGTACAGCACTGCTCAGAGACAGGAGCCAGAGTCGAACAACCACTACTCAACACATCAGCCTCAGAACTGGGGTTGGATAGGCACAAGGGGTCTGGGGCTCCCCCTTCCCCCTCCCAGGATGGGCAGAGCTGCGCAGACAGCAGAGCGGTGGCAGTTGTGATGTCATGCTTGTTTGCTTGTCTTAAATTGAGGAGTTCTCTTCTTGCCAGTTCGGCTTTAGGTAGCAATTTTGTAACCAGGTGGAATTTGTTTTGGGATGCCTACTTTTCTGGGTGCCTAGCCTGGTCAATGGCAGACATGGAATGCTCCCAACCACATGAGGGTTTCTATAAGCCATTGCTCCTCACTCCTTGAGGGGGAGGGGGCAGGTTCTTGCTCATGGTCCCTGGCAAGCAAGAGCTCCATTGAATAGACCGATGTCACGGTCTAATACATACATATCAGCCCGGTATAGCTCCGTGGAGCCAGAGGGACTCTCCACAGAAAGAAGAACATTTCTATGAGAAGTCAAGCATATCTCCTTTTTTATTTGCTTAATTTCAACTTGCAAAAAAAAAGTTAAAAATTATGAACAGTTCAAGCAATAAAACTAAAAAGTTATTGTAGGTTAGCCAATCATGCATAAACATAAAAAATACCCATAGCAAAATCATAGTTGATATTTCAGGCACAACAGCAAAGAATATTAACAATACTTTTACTGTAGTCTATTATGAAGCAAAGAATATTAGCAACAATCCTACTGTATTGTCTATTATGAAGAAAATAATAACAACAACAATCCTACTGAATTGTCTAATATGAAGCCTTAAAACTGTGTATCCAAATGTTACAATACTCACCCCAGCAAACACTAGAATCAAAATATTCTTAGTATCTGACCAGAATCGGGTGAGAGGGGTGAAGACGCTGATGTGTACAATTCTAAAGAGATAAAATAGCAGAATGCCTATTTCTATGGTAATAGTAACCTGTAAAGTTAAAAAACAAAAATTAATTTAACAGAAAACTTTATACAGTATCATAAGAATATTAAGAAGCACTTACTGTACATTGAAAAGTATCATATTGGGCATGGTTACTGCAAAGAGCAAAATTTGGTTTTGTTCCAGCAACTACTAGAACATTGCAAAAAACCAGCGTTGAATGTAATGAAACGCCACTTTCTGGGCAAGCCCCGGAGGCTCCCTGGAGTTATAGTACTGATATGCGCTATATTAGTCTGGGGCTTCTGTCAATGGAGTCCTGCCTACCGGGGACCAGACCTGGAACCTGGTCCCCTCAGAGAGGCACAGGGAGCCATGGCTTAAGGTATTTAAGGTACCCCTTTGTATTTAGGGGTATTCCTTGTCTGCTATCGACCAGGGTTAGGCACCCAGAAAGGTAGGCATTTCAAAACAAACCCCACATGGTAGAAATTGTAAAAACCCAAAACCGAATAGAGAAATAGAATTCCCAAAAAGAAAGTTAACAAGCAAACAAGCAATTGACATTCACCGCCACAGCACAGCTTATCTGTGCAGCCCTCCCCTTCCCGAAAGGGGAAGGGGAGAGTCCCAGACCCACGTGCCGACCCCTCACCTCAGTTTGTAAGCTGAACATCAAAAACGAAACCGCCAACCAGAAGGAAGGAGGAGGGTGCCAGGGAGCTTCTGGGGCTCACCCAGAAAATGGCATTTCATTACATTCAACGCTGGTTTTCTGTGGGGGAGCTCCTTCAGCTCCTTGGAGCTACCTAACCACGTAAATAAAAAGAGGGATTTAACCGGGAGGCGGCTGTACTGCAAGGATAAACTCTAGGACACGATAACTGGCTGCAACCTGCGACCCAAAGCCACACATGAATGACTGGGACAAGGAATATTTACCAAATAATGGGCAGCCAGGACCCTGTTCGACCTCCAAAACCCCCACACCCGAATGTCAGTCGAGGACGAGTTGCCAAACACAGCAGTCAAAGCAGTACACTTACAAACATCATGGGCACGAAGGTAGAACGTAGGCTGGCTAGACTTAATAACCCTGTGGACAACCCGAGAGACCCAAGCCCTAGAACAGGGAATGAGAAAAATCGGATCTACCCAAAGCGCATCCATGGTCACAGAGGCCGTGGCACAAATAATGGCACAGAGCCGCAACCGGACACAACACATGATGCTCCCCCGGCCTGACCAACCAAGCATCAATAACCCACGGACCCCTCCAGAAGCCTGCTGCCTCGTTCTTCGCCAGAAAGGAAAGAGATGGGCTGCAACGGAACAAAACCGTCCACCAGGATCAAAGGAGCAGAAACCTCTGCACCAGAGGAGAGCATGAAGCTCACTGACTCGACCCCCAGAGGCCAATTCTAACAGAAACAGAGGCTTTGGAATAACAATCTTGTACTGAAGGGCCGCATGATACGAGGCGACAGTATTCGGCATAAGATGACAGTCCTGAAAGAACCAAGAAAGGAAAGACAAGGCAACCCGAACAGAAATGGAAGTAAACCTATGAAGAGAGAAAATGGTGAAAAGACAGTCAAGCCACCTCATACTGTCTCCTAGACGAGGACTGAAGGTGGGACACCATCATAGAAGCCTCCTGATCACCATACAAGTGGTAATAGACCCCAGTCAATAAGATAAGATGTGAAGAGCAGAGCAGCAGATCAAACCAGCCTCGTACCAGACTGGCCCGATCTGACGGAAGAGGCGGAGCTGCGGAAAACATCCCGGGTTCGGACACTGAGCAAGCAAGAGCCTGAAACCAAGGCTGAACTGGCTACCATGGGTCTACAAGGACAATTCTCCTACGATAAGACTCCAACTGAGCCAGAACCCAAAACAACTGCTAGACTGGGGGGAAAGAGGTAAAGGGAACCCCACCTCGGCCAGTCCTGCCAAAGAGCGTCTACAGAGACGGCTCTGCAGTCAGGAAAGAGCGCCACATATAGCAGGAGAAGCTGGGACTACACCGACACAAAGAGATCCACCTCCGGGGTCTAGTACAGTATGTCTAACATAGTCAACCAAAGGAGTCGCTGTCGACCGTCCATTCCATGGACAGGGCGAATGAAATGCGAAATGTGACGTTGGACACTCCCGGATGTGAACCGTATGGAGAGCTAAACCCTGAAAAAACAGCAGACGAGTCACTTGAAGTGACCAGCCCAAAAGAGCAAAGGACCGAAGTGAACCTTGCAGTTCAGACAATAAACCACTGGAGTGCAGAGCCCCGAGTGACCTAAACCCTCCGCAGCAAAAACCAAACCGCCGCAAACTCCTGCACCGTGCTGTAAGCCCGACGGAATGACAAACCCCATCGCCCCTGGTTGGCCTGGTGAGCACTCACTACAAAGCCCAGCTGAGAGATGAGGCATACATGAACACATTGAGCAAAGGTTCAGGAAGATGCCAAGGCACTGAACCCCGAAAAACCCGTAGAGGAAGCCAGATACGCAGCAGCCGATGCAAGGCCCCCGGGGAGTGAACTCAGCAGTCACGAGAGAGGCAGAGGGGATGGTCCCTGAAGGAACCAGAACAGGCGCTGAAGCCATACCCGACCCGACGGGTAAACCAGCACGGCAAAGATCAACCTCCTGCACAACTGTTTGAGCAATCAATGAGCGACCCAGGACCCCACCAGAAACAGCTGAAGGCAGGACTGCAGCCACAACGATGCCACAGGAAGGAGAGACTTGGAAGCGGTCTTAGAGTCCCACACAAGACCCATCCAGGTCCAAACCTGAGACGGAACTAGGTGGGACTTCCTCCAGTTCACCAGGACCCGAACCTGACGAGCTGGGAAAGAACCAAACCCCTGGTGAGCAAACAAGCTGACCGACTGGGAGCCCACACCAGCCAGTCGTTGAGGTAGGCTAAAACTCGAACCCCCTAGCAGACGCAGACGGGCCACCACGACCCGGGTAAGACGCGTGAAAACGTGAAGTGCCAGATTCAAGCCAAACAGAAAGCAATGAAAGTGGCAAGCATGCCGCTCCACAATGAAACCGAGCCAATCCCTGATGAATTGGGACGTGCCAGTACACGTCCCAGAGGCCCAGACACACCATCCAGCAGTCGGACCTGAGACAAAGTGGTCATCCGAAAGGAGGGTCAAGGAATCCAACAGTTCAGATGGTACAAGTCCAGCATGAAACGAAGATCCACACAGTCCCGTTTCGGTACTGGAAACAGGTCGGAAACTCACCCGAGGGATTAAGCCAATTCCACCATGCCCAAGTGCACCCACTCCAGGATGACTCGATGGAGCGAAGGGGAAGAAGCCTGCTCCGCCAGCCCCAAATTCTCCAAAGGGGAAGGAGTTGTCCAGAGCCACCAAAGGCTAGAAGACACGACCCGAAACGCTCATGAATCGTGGGACCAAGCATGGGCAAACAGAGCGAGCCCCCCCCCCCCAGCTCGTTGTCAACGGGGCGAACCTCAAAAGGGCCGATGCCCCTTAATAGAAGCCAGCCTAGGAACAGAGCAAGCAGTGCACCGACTAGATGACACCAGTTCCAAAGGAGACACCAGCTCAGAAACTGGCACCAAAGGCCCACCTCGACTAGAAGAACCCTGAGCCCTGGCATGACCCTTCTGAGAGGCCCGAGAACGGCCACCCCGGATGACCAATAAATCTGATTAGAGGACAGCAACTAGATGAGGCTGCCTGCAGAAACCGAGTCACACCACTCTCACCAAACAATAATGGACAAAAGGGGCAAAGAAAACCTAATAGCCAGGCCCAAGTGGAGTCCTAAGAGATAGCGGGGACGGCCTGACGACATGTGAGGTGAGAGGCAGAGAACAGAGACCCCGCCTCCTGGAAAATCAGCGCAAACAGCATCAACAGCTCAGCCGACGCCCTGGCCGCTGAGGCCAATGCCCCATATGAAGGCCTGACACTCAATGCCTCCACGTCCTCCCCAAGCCAGTCCGAGGATAACTCAAGAAGGGAAAAGTAGCACAAGACTGAGGCCAAGTGCCCATGGGCACGAAAGTCTTCAGCAGCCAAGGTAGCTAAAAGAGCAGGGACCTGCACATGCAGCTGCTGAAGGTCAAAATCCTGAGGAAGCACGGGGACAAAAAGGCATGCACTGAAGCATTCCAAATCGACCCCCAGGTCAACCTGCAGAACAGTAGTATCTTCCCGCCATTCAAGCATACGGGTCCGACAAAACCCGTGCCATGCTTCTGAAAAAAAAGGGAAGCCTGCCAGCCATGAAGACCCCGGAACCTCATAACTCACCAAAGACAGGGATGAAGAATCTGTACTTAAAGGAGGACGGATCCAGCACAGAGGCATACTCCGGGTCTCACAGGAGGTAAGCTGCAAGAGCCTCCCAAACTTCCTTGGGCGGGACGCGAGAGGCAGAAAACCTCCGGAAGGAAGGAAGGAGCCGAGGAGCCCACGGGAACCCGAAATCGAACCTGGGGAAGAGCCAATCCCAAATCAAACTCGCACAAGGAAGGTGGATAAGAAATCACCTCGCCCTGTAACAACAAACCCTGCGTCGAGTGCACCAAAATCAAAGCAGGATCAAAGGGGGGTCCAAGCCCCCCAGGGCACCTCCTCCACAGCCCCAGGAGTCCTGGGGAAAGGCAGCAAAGCAAAGAAGGGGGGGGGGCCTACTGGTCAGACCCAGAAATCACGGCAGGAGGAACAGGCTCAATTGTCTATGTCTCGAAAGGAACTGCCCCCGAAGCTGCCCAAGTCTCATCACCAACGAAATCCCGCCCTGAATAACAGACGTTTGGGAGCTGGTAGCAGGGAGATAGAGGAGCAGGGAGAACCACGCCCACCAGGGAAGGACCTGAAGGAGTGGACAGAGCCAAGGTCGAAGTGCCCAACAAGAAAAACTCCACAAAAGCACAACCACAACAGAAGGAAGAGGGAACACAACCACCGCGTTGGTAGGCAAGCAGAGCAGCACCTCGCATCCCAAACAAGCAACAACAACAACACTTCCTACCCAAGGCCAAATAAAGACCATGAAACCCCAGCGGCTTCCCCAAGGGATGGGCAACTGCCGAGCAGCAGAAACTCCAACGGAAGTGCAGCCTGAGAGCACCAGGAAAGATAACCCTAGAACCCAAGGGTAGTACTCACAGGATGCTTAGGGAAGGAGCCTTAAGTGCATGCAACCGTTAGTACTGTATATTACTCCTAGCCACTGCGACACAAACAGCAGAAAACACTAGAAGGGCACAAAATCCAGCAAGACAACTGAGGCCAGAGTCGACATCCACCCCCAGAGCCATAAAATGAGGCGAGGTTTCGGCATGTGGGTCCGGAGTTCCTCCCTCCCCCATCCCAGGGAGGGGAGCGCTGTACATACAAGCTATGCTGTAGCAGTGATTGTCAATTGCTTGTTTGCTTGTTTCCTATTTCTTTTGGGGATTACTATTTCTCTGTTCGGTCTTGGGTTTTTACAATTTCTACTATGTGGGGTTTGTTTTGAAATGCCTACCTTTCTAGGTGCCTAACTCCAGTCAATGGCAGACAAGGAATACCACCTAAATACAAGGGGGTCTTCTTAAGTCATTACTCCCTGTGCCTCTTTAAGGGGGCCAGATTCTGACTCTGGTCCTCAGAAGGCAGGACTCCATTGGCTGAAGCCCCTGACTAATATAGCACATATCAGTCCTAGAGCTCTATGGAGCCACAGGGGCTCCCCACAGAAATATAAAAAGGTAGGCAATTACTTTTATTTTTTAAATAACAGTACAGTACTGTATATTGTACAGTAGCAATTATTAATTATGAGTTACAGTGTTTACCCTGTATCTTACCAGAAATAAATATCTCCGATATTCCCCGAGTTAGACTAAATCTATGTAAACATGCCATGCAAATAAAAAGAGCCAAATATATGTAACTTGCTCCCTAATGAATTAAAAAATTGTCCAACCTATGTGTTATTTAACAGAAGAACTCTGAAACACCTAATTTCTTCTTCATAATATCCCACCTTGTGCTACCAACCCATTCAGTATTTTGTGCTATCCACTCACCCAGAATATTACAATGAAGACATGCACCTTCATCGTATAATTGTGTTTGATCTCTTTATATCAATGTCCATTATCATACGAATTCAAATTCTGTTACAATGTACCTATAATTAAACTTATAGGTTTTCCTAAAGACCTGCCAAAAATGCTATGCATGCCAGTGGATTTGCAAGAATGTACTACTTGCCCACCAATATATGTAGTTTAACCCATTGTATCTTCTATGTGAATAAATAAATACATAAATACACCAATATTAAGTCAGACAAAGTGGCAGGGCAATTAATCTTAATACCAACCAAGAATAGTCCTATAAAGACTAACAATACATCCTTACCAATCAGCATTTATGGGGAAATGAAATCACATTCCTGGGCCCCACCTTCTAGCTATTGGTATATACAACTTTTACATCTCAATATTGTAGCCTTCTAAGGATGGCTTACATTTACAGAAGATAAATGTTCAGATAAATCAGGAAACTGCATTATGAAGAACTATTTTTTTAATGTCAAGATATGGATGTGGCTCACGAGACACACAGTTAAAGCCAACTGCATGCACAATACATTAATTCAAATGCAGTTATTATACAATGAAGCCCAACCATGTAAGCCGACTGAAAGTTACGAGGCCAGGACATGATAATCAAACTATGCAAATAATTGCTAGGTATCACACAGCCAAAATGTCAAAATACCCAGAACTATAAAAAGTACTAGTCTGCTGAAAAACAGTTCCCTGAACTTAAAGGGATAATATATAAGTAACAACTGAGGGAATGAACCCCACAATATGCTGGAAAACAGACAGCAGAGGCGACATGGTCACAACCCAAGATTCAGAAGCAACATTGTCACAACCCAAGATTCATTGTATTGTATTAATAAAATTAAAAAAAAGTAAATGCTTAGTGTGAGCATGGATATGATAAGAGGATATAGATGGCAGCTAAAAACTTAAATGAGCCATAGGGATACAAGGAGACATCTCGTCACAGTAATAGTAGTCAGCAAATGGATTAAGCTACACAAGTAGGTAGTTGATGTCAATTCCATAGATAAAAAGCAAGAGGATAGAAAGTTGTTGTAATAGATGACCAGCAACTGATAGATGGTACCTAGGTGATGCAAGCACATTTGAGTGTGCACACACAGTTGTGCAAAGGACACTCGAGTTGGGACATTTGACCTTTTAGTCTATGTTCCTTAACTGCAAAGATAAAGAAATAGACTCTAGTTCTTCTCCACTCACAGGTGGCCACACTGGGACAAAGAAATTCTGGAAGACCGATTCGTGGCAAGTGAATAATTTTAAAATATTTTAGAATCGGTTTGCATAAGCAGCATAAACTTGATGAATAGGGAAAAATGTTTGCCATAAACCCTATGAATCTCACTCTGCTTGGTTCCAAAGAAATGCTTAATTTTGATACCTGGGTGATAATTCAAGTACAGTACTGTACTGTAATACAAATGTACACTTAGTTCAGGAATCAATGGACAGTCTTGTGAAATGTACAGCAACAGAATATGTACATGAAACTGACTGTCCTCTCGAGCCTTTATAGCTTCAATAAACTGATATAATATATTACCGACCCTAACCTAACCGAGAATCCACGAATAGAATAGAGGGCATCATGTCAATTTTGCATTCTGCTATGATTTTTAATGTCATCTTCTCACCTTTCTCTTGCCTACTTAATGCCCTTGCCTCCCTCGCCTCATCGCAATCGACTTAATAATGGTCCAAGACGGACCGAAACGTTGTCGTCTCTTCAATTTCTAGTAATGTATGTGGTTTGGTCAACACTTTAATATGTCAATTTCAAAATGTGATGTGCTACTTAAGAAGATGAGTTGCATGAAAAGAGACAACATGGTTGCTTGACCAGATACACAACTGTGGTATTTGGAGCAAGAATTTTAAAGAACATCTTGACAGACAGATTAATAAGCAATATATATGAAAAAATGAAAACACAGGTCTAAAAACTCACCCAGTAAGTAATCTGTAAAACGGGTACTGCTGGCTTCTCAAAGAGTGCTAATGACAGGTGTAGGGCAATAACAAAATACAGTATTGCTTGCCCCCATTTATTCTGGTACATGTGGTATAATCTGAAATACAATTTATTACAGAGCATTAAAAAGCTTATTAAAAAAAAACAGCGTTGAATGTAATGAAATGCCATTTTCTGGGGTGAGACCTGGAGGCTCCCCAGAGTTTACTAGGCTGATATGCTAATGTCAGACTTTGGCATCAGTCATGTGAATGGAGTTCTATGGGCCTACCAGGGACCACGAGCCAGAACCTGGCCACCTCAAAAGAGGCAAGGGAAGCAATGGCCTATAGAAACCCCCGTGTGGTTGGAAGCATTCTATGTCTGCCATCGACCGGGTCAGGCACCCAGAAAGGTAAGCGTCCCAAAACAAACCCCTATTCTGGTGAAATTTGCTACCAAAAGCCGAACAAGTGGATAGAACTCCCCCAAAAAGAAACTAGCAAATGAGTATGACGTCACACATCGCCGCGCCGCTGTCTGTGCAGCTCCCCCTCTCCCCGGGAGGGGGAAGGGAGAGCCCCAGACCCCCGTGCCGGCTATCCACCATCAGTTCAAATTCAAATGTTTATTTAGGTAAAGTACATCTCTTGAGGTTATCTCGAGATGATTTCGGGGCTTTTTAGTGTCCCCGCGGCCCGGTCCTCGACCAGGCCTCCAGCCCCAGGAAGCAGCCCGTGACAGCTGACTAACACCCAGGTACCTATTTACTGCTAGGTAACAGGGGCATAGGGTGAAAGAAACTCTGCCCATTGTTTCTTGCCGGCGCCTGGGATCGAACCCAGGACCACAGGATCACAAGTCCAGCGTGCTGTCCGCTCGGCCAACCGGCTCCCATACATACAATACATACAAGGGGTGATACAAATATTGATGAATTTATAGATAGAGCTAGTACATACAATGCCTAAAGCCACTATTACGTAAAGCGTTTCGGGCAGAAACGGGACGGGCAGATGGGACATTCCGAGGCTGGATGTCAAAAAACGCAAAAAAAATGCTGATCAGAGGAAGGGAGAGATGCCGGGGAACCTCCATGTCTCGCCCAGAAAATGGCGTTTCATTACATTCAACACTGGTTTTCTGGGGGGAGCCCCTACGGCTTCCCAGAGCTAACTACTCACAGAGGAAAGTAGAGGGACTTACCTGGGAGATGGTCGCTGCTCAGTCCTCAACTTGAAGTCGAGACAACTGGCTGCAACCGCCGACCCAAAGCGACACAGGCCCGACTAGGCCCAGGAACGTTTATGACATAACGAGCAGCTAGGACCCTGTTCAACCTCCAAAATCCCCGTGGCTGAATGTCCTCCGAAGAGCAAACCATACCGCCGCGAACTCCCACAATGTGCTGTGGGCTCGACGGAAGGACGGACCCCACCGTCCCTGGCCGGCCTGGTGAGCACTGGTCACAAAACTCCAGCCGAGAGATGATGCATCCGTGAACACACGAGTGTGGGCTTGGGTACGCGCCAAGGCACTGAATCCCGAAAAACCCGAAGAGGAAGCCGGCGATGCAGCAGCCGACGCAAGGCCCCCGGTGTCCGACATGGGGCAACAAGTAGCGATCGCAAGAGAGGCGGAAGGAACATACGTCTCTGAAGGAACCAGAACAGCCGACGAACCAAACCCGACCCGGCGGGTAGACCATCATCGCAAAGTTCAGGTTCCCGCACAAACCCTCGAGCAACCGCTGGGTGACCCGGAAGCCCCAGAAATAGGCGCAAACAGGACCGCAGCCACAGGAGAGACTCCGGAGGAAGAGACAAGGAAGCGGTCCGAGAGTCCTACACAAGACCCAGCCAGGTCCGAACCTGGGAGGGAACCAGATGGGACTTCCTCCAGTTCACCAAGAACCCGAACCCGGCGAGCTGGGAAGAACCAAGTCCCTGGCTAGCAGACAAGAGGACCGGCTGAAAGCCCAACCCAGCCAGTCGTCGAGGTAGGCCAACACCCGAACACCTAAAAGACGCAGCCGGGCCACAAAGAGCCGCGTAAGGCGTGTGAATACGAGAGGTGCCAGATTCAACCCGAATGGGAGACAACGAAAGCGGTAACCCTGATGCCCCACAACAAAACAGAGCCAGTTTCTGAACCCTGCATGAGTCGGGATGTGAGAATAAGCATCCTGGAGGTCCAGGGACACCATCCAAGATCCCGGGACACTGAAGTCATCTGGAAGGAGGGGCAATGAACCCAAGGGTTCAGACGGTTGAAGTCCAGAATGAACCTCAGGTCAGCACCGTCCCGTTTCGGCACTGGAAACAGACAGGAGACCCATCTGAGGGACGTCGTCGTTTCGACCACGCCCAAGCTAACCCACTCCAAGACGACTCGAAGCACAGGGAAGGAGGCCTGCCCCACTAGCCCCGAATCCCCCGAAGGAGGAGGAGGAGCGACCCAACGCCACCGCAGGCGGAAGGAAACGACCTAAAATGCCCACAAATTATGGAACCAGGCATGTGCAAACAGCACAAGTCTCCCCCCCCCCCCATTGCCCAGTCAATGGGGCGAATCGCGAAAGGGCCAGAACACCATTACGAGACCCAGAACCTCGCACAGAGCGAACACCGCGCTGACCAGACGAAGGCGGGTCCGAGGATGGCGCCAGACCCGAAACTGGCACCCATGGCCGACCTCAACAAGAGGAACCCTCAGCCCTGGCACGACCCCTCTGGGAAGGACCCCCCCCCCCCCCCCCCCCGGGACCCCTGGAGAACCAACATGTCAGACATGGGGCAACAAGTAGCTGAAGCAGCCTGAATATACTGTGCCACGGCCGAATCCTCAAAAAGCAGAGGACAAAAAGGCGAAGACATCCTAAGAGCCAGGGTCCAGGCCGATTCCAAAGAGGAGGCAAGCACTGCCTGCTGACACGCGAGCCGGGAAGCATAAAATGGTGAAACCGCATCCCGCAAGATCAACGCAAAGAGCTTCAACAAGGCAGTGGGATAGGGGGCCCACTGGTCAGACCCAGAGGCTTCGGCTGGGAGATCGGACGCGAATGCCTCCGTCGCCACACCGGAAGGGGCATCCCGAGACTGCCCAAGTCTCAAGACCATCTAAACCCTGCCCCAACTCCAAAATCCTCAGATGTTTTGGAGCCGGAAGCAGGGAAGGGGGGTCCAGAACGAACCACAACAGGGAAAGGATGAGGGGAGTGCAGACTGAACCAAGGTCGAAGCGACCCCCACCCCCAAGTCCGGGTCCCTATAAGCAAAACGGGGCAGCCTCGGGGAATCCGGGTGAGCAGCCTGTGGGAAAACCTGTTGGGATTGATATGAGAGGAGAACTACTTGGGACTTGTACTGTACTAAATTAAAAATTACTGTATGCAAAATTAATTTAACTAAAGTCTCTAGCTAGGGTCATAAATCCTAGCTCCTCTTTTCCTAGTGACAGACTGTGGGCTGTAAGGGGCAGGTGGGATCCCTTAGGATAAATGGAGAAGTTGATTGAAGATCCACAATCTACCTGCAGACAAGTATCTCACATCAGCTTGTATTGTTAATACAAGGATAAGATTTAATAATTCAGTTCTATAACTGAACACGGGGTTCTGTTTAAATCAGGAATCTAAAAATGTACACAGTCCAGCCTAGAACCATAACTATAGCATCTATAGTTCTATCCACTTGTTCGGCTTTTGGTAGCAATTTTCACCAGAATAGGGGTTTGTTTTGGGACGCTTACTTTTCTGGGTGCCTGACCCAGTCGATGGCAGACATAGAATGCTTCCAACCATATGGGGGTTTCTATAGGCCATTGCTCCCCTTGCCTCTTCCAAGGCAAGGCCATGAGCCAGGTTCTGGCTCAAGGTCCCTGGTAGGCCCATAGAACTCCATACACATGACTGATGCCAAAGTCTGACATTAGCATATCAACCTAGTAACTCCGGAGAGCCGTAGGGGCTCCCTGCAGAAAATTGAGTAAACAATGAGTAGAAATAAAGAGCTTCAAACTCTGTGTATGCAGATGTTTAAATCGTATAATGTAAAAAAAAATATCATTCAAGTCTCTTCATTAACACGTCTGCAAAGTTAACTGATGCCAAACAAAATTTAAGCACATGTATATAATTAACATTCATAAAGGCTAAAACTATTATATTTTCATAACTAATATTCCAATTACTGTAATAACAAAAACACCAAATTTAAAACTGTTTACTCACTTCAAATGTCTCTCTGAAACTTTGAAGTCGGAGTGTCTTCCATCTCTTGCATCTTCTACATAAGTTGCAGCAAGGAGAAGATTCTGCAACATTTTCAACAGTAACAGCCCAAACTGTATTTAGTAAAACAAATATCTGATATGCACTGTTGTTATGGTTACCCAACCACATTTACACGGACCTAGCTCAAGCTATTGTACCTGAAGAATATATACTTCCCAATGTACTAGTGTTGTCATACATGATGTTGAAGCTATACATTGAGATTCTTGTTATGACCTTTGCTTTAAGTATGTTTATCTGTTTACAACTCCACCGAGTACAAATATTCTTTTGGCTCTTTAACTCTCATGTCTTTCCAATTTCTACCTATTCCCTCTCACTCTGCTCCTCTTCATCTGGAATAAATTTTCTCTGCCCACTTCATCTACTGTCTTTTCGTCTGTACCTGATGAGTCGCAATCATATCATCTAGGGTTCTTCTCTCTCCTAGTGTTAGTACCTTGAGCTGTCTTATTCTGTCCTCACAATTCAGCTCTTACCTCTGACACCACCTCATACTGAATCTCAGACTTTTAACATATATATGTTGTGCTTCACAAGGTGGGTATCTCTTATGTGCCCAGTATATTCTAAGACTGAACTGACATACTGAATATAATGTTCCGATTACTTGCTTAGGTTTCTAAAAGTCATCCTAATGTTTTCCAAATTTTTAAGAAGCTGCCAAAGCTATTTTACTTATGCACCAGTCTGATGTTAAGGATTATATTATGTCCACTCTCAGGTCTCGCTCAGGGATAACTGGAAAAGCACTGAAATGGATAACAAGAGTACCAGAGGGACAGTAAACAAAGGGTTTATAGTAAAGAAGGATGTGTCTGGGTGGAGATGTGTCAATTGATGTGAAAGTATTATTAAAGTATGAAAGACCATATATATACAATGTATGTGATAACAATACTAAAGTATGCAGGACCATATACACAACTCATGTGAGAGCATTACTAGATTATGAAAGACTAAATACAGTACACAACACATACCAGAGTCAGCATCTCATGAAGCACTTAAAAGATACTTGAAAAGTATAGTGATTTACTACAAAACTTGTACCCGAATTGAAAGGACTAAGACATGAGGACATGGCAGAGGAACATAGACTAGAGGACATAAGCACTACATACAAGATATTGAGGGGAATAGACAAGAGGAACAAAGGCAACCTAATTAATTTAAAAAGAAAATAGAAGAGGATATCAGTCAAAGCAGGAAATGCATCATAGAAATGTAATGGAAGTATTTATACCGTGTACAGGTTGTCATCAAGAGAAATGCAGCAAAATAAGATATTTTTGAAGCCAGTTCCATCCACAACTTTAAGAATGGATACGACACTGAACTTGAACATCAAGAGATTTAAAGTGTGCCAGTCACAATAAGCTAGGAGCTAAGGCATAGAGCTAGAACTCACTCCCCATAGGTACTGATAAGTAAACACAGATACATGAACACATTACTGATTGGAAGAACTGACTTTGATATAGCTTGCTCTATGAAACAATATCATCATACAATGGAGTACTGTATTATGTGACTACATTAGTAGTCACATAATACAGTACATTACTATATCTTTTGCCCGAAACGCTACGCGTACTAGTGGCTGTACAAGAATGTAACAACTCTTGTATATATCTCAATCTCAAAAATCTGACATTTTGAAGTAACATTACTAGATGCAAATAAAATGTGCAAGTGTAATGTAAATACTAACCAGTAAAGTAGAATGTGCAGGTGTAATGTATATTAAATGAATTATGTACCCACCAGTGAAGTAAAAAACCAGCGTTGATTGTAATGAAATGGCCTTTTCTGCGTGAGCTCCGGAGGCTCCTTTAGACCCTCCCTCCGCTTAGCGTTTTTTTAGCGTTCAAGATCTGGAGTGGTGGGTTGCCGGCTCCCACCCTTCCCTGGGGCGGTTGCGTTAACGAGTGGAAGTGCTATCCGATTCGCCTATCTTTCTGGATCCTTTCCCTGGTCGATGGCAATTATGACATACAGTACTTTAAATGTAAAGTGCTCGTAGGCCATTGCTCCCTGCGCATCTCTCAGGGGACTGGGTTCTGACTCATGGTTCCCGGTAGGCATAAGAACTCCTGTGACTGATGACCCCAAACTAATATAGCACACATCAGTTTGGATAGTTTCAGGGAGCCTCCGGGGCTCCCCACAGAAATGTGTAGGTGTAGTGCATACCCACCAGTAAAGTAAAAATGTGCAGGTGTAGTGCATATACCCACCAGCAAAGTAAAAATGTGCAGGTGTAGTGCATATACCCACCAGCAAAGTAAAAAATGGGCAGGTTTACAGTAGTGTATAAATCAAATAATAATTCATTGTGTCAGAGGACAGGCAGCTTGTGTGTGTGTACTGTATATACAAGTTAGGTTCATAACAGTCATTTATATTCATAACATAACAGAACTCAACAGTCTCCATGGTGTAGTGGTAAGACATTCGCCTGGCGTTCCGCGAGCGCTTTGTCATGGGTTCGTATCCTGGCCGGGGAGGATTTACTGGGCGAAAATCCTTAACTGTAGCCTCTGTTTAACGCAACAGTAAAATGTGTACTTGGTTGTAACAACTCGTATTCCAGGGACCTGCCCAAAACGCTACGCGTACTAGTGGCTGTACAAGAATGTAACAACTCTTGTATATATCTATATATAAAAAAAAAAAAAAAAAAAAAAAAAAAGCTCCCCCCCTCCCGAGGTCAAATTACAGACTTCCCCCAGAATGCAACCCCACAACAAGCTGACTAACTCCTGGGTATCTACTTGCTGCTAGGTGAACAGCGGCATTAAGTGATAGGAAATGCGCCAGTCCAAATAGTCCCAGGTGGGACTATTTGTCCCACCTGGGATTTGAACTCGGAATTCTCGATAGTAAGTTGAGAATGAACCCTACTGTACTACCGGGACCCTTGGTAGTACAGACAAGTAAATACCCCCCAGAAGAGTAAAATGTGCAGGTGTAGTGCATATATGCACCAGCTGAGTAATAATAGTATTTTGAGAGAAATATTCACTTTATACTTTACAAAAATAATATGCTGCACATACTAAATCTGATAACGGAGGTTCATTTGTAGAATCTACGGCAGTGCTTCCATCTGCAGCATTACTGACTTCAATCACCTCCTCCTGTGTCTTATATATAATACTTATCGGGGTCGAGTCTTGGTCCGTTACACTTTTACGGAGCTGTAGTGATGATTTTCTTCTGTGGTTTACTGAAAAAAATTTAAATGTAACTTGTACATTACAACTGTATTTTAGCTTTTCCATTAATATGAACGCACTAACAAGGACGTAACTAACATCAAACAGGGTAAATAACAGAATTATTTAAAATATTTGTTAAATTCCAAGAGATATTAAAAGGCACAGATTCACAAATATTATTCCATTATTAGTACAGTCTTGGTACATGTCTCGGCATTCAGTCAATCTTCTACACTGAGAAGATTCATTCCGCACTCTGTTTGCTGTCTAAACACCAGCTTTACCTTGAAGGTTTGCCTTCCCAGACTTCATTTTTAACTATGCTATTCAGAAATGATAAAAAACATACATAGTACAAAACAATTTCTTTCCTGCAAGGAATTCATAATTCTTTGCATGCCTCCATCATGCTGCTCGTTGGAGCGGTGACACCTATACTTTGTGATAGGAAATTTATTCACCTATTTATTCAATTAATAAATCAAAACTACACTGACTGCCACCAGGAGCCAATCCCGTTAAAATGCCAGTACAGTACAACTTTTCGTCCAAATCACCCAAACAAGCTAGAAGATGGAACAACAAGGGCAGAAAAGAAGGCATTCAAAAGTACAGCTCAAATACAAGTATTTCACAGCAAGCACCTTAATTCTGAGACTGAGGCTCTTTGGATGTTACCATAGGCAACTCGCTATGACTTTGTAAAAAACAAAAAAGACAAAAAAACATACTCGAACTGATAATTACCTAACCTTGTAATTACCCAAGTGTAGTTACAGACTGAGAACTATGCTCCTGGTGTCCCCATCTTCCCAGCGCACTCTGTCATATAACGCTTTGAAACTACTGACGGTTTTGGCCTCCTCCACCTTCTCACTTAACTTGTTTCAACCGTCTATTTACAAAAGAGAATTTTCTTATATTTCTCCGGCAGCTTTGTTTTGTTAGTTTAATTCTATGACCTCTTGTTCTTGAAGTTCCGGGTCTCAGGAATTCTTCCCTATCAATTATATCGATTCCTCTTACTATTTTGTATGTAGTGATCATATCACCTCTTGTTTCTTCTATCTTCTAGTTTTTTGCATATTTAATGCCTCTAACCTCTCATCGTAGCTCTTGTCCTTCAGTTCTGGGAGCCACTTGGTGGCATGCCTTTTCACCTTTTCCAATTTGTTTATGTGCTTCTTAAGATATGGGCACCATACAACCGCTGCATATTCTAGCTTTGGTCTAACAAAAGTCGTGAACAATTTTTTTAGTATTTCGCCATCCATGTACAGTATTTAAAAGCAATTCTGAAGTTAGAAAGTGTAACATAGGCTCCTCCCACAATGTTCTTAATGTGGTTCTCAGGTGACAGTTTTCTATCTAGAACCACCCCTAGATCCCTTTCTTGTCAGAATTCTTTAAAAATTTCCCACATAATTTATAGGTTGTGTGGGGTCTATATTCTCCTATTCCACATTCCATAACATGGCATTTATTCACATTTTCATTTGCCAAGCGGTGCTCCATATACTTATTTTGTCCAGGTCTTCTTGAAGGGCATGACAATCTTCTAGGTTTTTTATCTTTCCTATTATCTTAGCATCATCAGCAAACATGTTCATATAATTCTGTATTCTATCTGGTAGATCGTTTATGTAGACAATGAACATTACCGGTGCAAGAACTGAACCCTGTGGTACTCCACTTGTGACATTCCTCCAATCCGATACATTGCCTCTGATTATGGCCCTCATTTTTCTATCAGGAAATTTTTCATCCATGCTAGAAGCTTACCTGTCACCCCTCCAATATGTTCCAGTTTCCAGAACAACCTCTTATGTGAAACTCTGTCAAAAGCATTTTTTAAGTCCAGATAGATGCAGTCAACCCAACTACAGTATCTCTTTCCTATAAAATCTCTGTGGCTCGTTCATAGAAAATGAGTAAATTCGTTACACAGGATCTCCCAGATCGAAAACCATACTGTTTGTCTGATATTATATCGTTTTTCTCCAGATTTTCTACCCATTTAGTTTTAATTATTTTTTCCAATATTTTGACTATTACACTAGTCAATGATACAGGTCTATAATTAAGGGGGTCTTCCCTGCTGCCACTTTTGTAAATTGGGACTATGTTAGCCTTTTTCCACACATCAGCTACAACTCCTTTACACAGGGATGCCTGAAAAATCAGTTGAAGTGGAATGCTGTGCTCAGATGCACATTCTCTCAGAACCCATGGTGAAACTCCATCTGGACCAACTGCTTTGTTCTTACTTTGCTCCTTTAGCATTTTCTCCACTTCATCTCTAGATACCTCTATGTGCTCTAAGCTGTTCTCTGGAATTCTTATTGTGTCTGGTTCCCTGAAGATTTCCTTTTGTACAAACACTGTTACTTTTCGTTTAATGTCTCACACATTTCCTTTTCATTTTCTGTGAATATTTTCCATTTTCAACTTCTGAATATTATCCTTTACCTGCAATTTGTTGTTTATGAATTTATAGAATAGACCTGGTTCTGTTTTACACTTGTCCGCAATCCCTTTTTCAAAATTTCTTTCTGCCTCTCTCCTCACTGCCGTGTAGTTGTTTTTCGCATCTTTGTATCGCTGGATGTTTGGGGGTTTGGCCTCTTCCTATATCGATTCCATTTTTGTATCTTTTGGTCTCTGGCCCTCTCGCAATTTCTGTCGAACCAATGTTGTTTCCTAGTTCTGCATCTCTGGTTTGGAATAAATTTTTTTGTGCCTTTATCATATATTTCACAAAACTTGACATACATCTCATTTACTTCATGTCCTAACAGCAAATCTTTCCAGTCAATTTCCTTAAAGAAATGTCTGAGTTCCCCATAATGACCTCTACTGTAATCAGGCTTTTTAACTGCTTCAACCTCATTTTCTTCCAAATCATAATGCATAGCATACTTTATTCCCAATAAGACAAGGTCACTTTTACCTAAGGGACTAAGGGAGGGAGGTACTGAATGTCAAATATCTCTTCCTCTTTCCTGGTAAATATCAAATCCAGCATGGAGGGAACATCCCCTTCCCTCATCCTCGTAGCTTGTTTAACATGTTGAAACATAAATGTTTCCAGGATGAGGTTTACGAATCTACAAGTCCAAAAATCCTCCGTTCTAGCTTCATATGCCTCCCAGTCTATGGATTTTAAGTCGAAGTCACCGACTACCAACAGTCGTGATCTTTCTTTATCAGCTCTGACTATAATTTCTCTCATTATTGTTATAAGACCCTCTCGTTTATTATCTAGCTCCTCCTTTGTCCATGTGTTGCTTGGCGGTGGACTATATGCATTTATGATCGTTAGTTTATCATCCTGATTGCCTATCTCTAGTGCTATTATGTCAACTTCTCGTGGACTGGCAATTATTATTTCGTTTACCTTTAGGTAAACGAAATAATACCTGGTTGATCAGGTATCCTCCAAAGGATACCTGGTTGATCAGGTATCCTCCAAAGGATACCTGATCAACCAGGCTGTGACTCATACGTCAGGCTGCGAGCAGCCGCGTCTAACAGCCTGGTTGATCAGTCCAGCAACCAGGAGGCCTGGTCGACGACCGGGCCGCGGGGACACTAAGCCCCGGAAGCACCTCAAGGTAACCTCAAGGTAGGTGTTCTTTCACCAGCACAGCAATGCCACCGCCTTTCCTAATTTTTCTGTCCCGTCTCCAGACCGAGTAGCCTCTTGGGAATATGACCTCATTTAAAATATCATCTTCAAGTTTTGTCTCTGTGAGTGCAACAATATCTGGTGTATGCAGCTGTATTACATCACTAACTCCTGTATCTTTCATCTCACTCCATCTATGTTGGTGTATGCAATTTTCAGGAACTTGTTCCCCCCTCTCCTTATTCTTCACTCCCCCCCTCTCTAATCCTTTTGTTGGTTTGCCTTTATGTACCACTTTACTGGTTTGCCTACCCCTATCACTTTGAAGGAAAAAAAATTGATTTCTTCTTCATTCCTGCTCTCATTTAAACGTTTTGCCTCGGTGAGGTTCAGTTTCAGCTTCTCTGTCCTCTTTTTGAAAGATCTCGTCTTAACGACTATACTTTCCCTTCCTACCTTGTGCTGAAAAGGCAGAGCTAGTGCCACCAAGACAGAAGTTAATCAAAACAGGCTATATGTTTATGATATTGATGGAGCAGCCGACCCGACAAACACTGAACGAACCTTTATGGCATTTGTCCATTTTTCAAATTGTTTCAACTATTTTTTTTATTTTTCGTTTTTTTTTTTTTGAGAAACATGGAGCAGCATACCTGCCAAACACTGAACAAACCTTTTGCTATAAGACAAATGAAAAAAATATTGAAAATTTGAAGAAAAAAAATATCATAAGGGTTTGTTCAGTATATGTAAGGTAGGCTGCTCCATTATTTAAAACTTTGAATATCATATTGATGTTTTTCCAGTGGTAGAACGGATTAATTTGATTTCCATTATTGTCAATGGAGACATTCGTTTTGTATGACATCCATTTCACATGACGATCACGGCGCTGGAACGGATTAAATTCATTATTCGAGGTTCCACTGTATAGCACAGTACTATACATTTGGAAAATATCTGCCAGAGAAGATTTAGTTTGAACTTCAGAAACCAGTGGCCAAATACCTGAACAGGGACATGGCTGTGAAGAAAGCAATTACCCCTGTATAGTGTTTACCAACTTTACCTATCACCTACAGTACAGTATTTTCCATATAGTTACCATTTGAATATGAAGCCTCAACATTATTAGAGGGAACTTGATCAGAGTTTATTTCACTTTCAATCATTACTTCTAAGACTTTGCTGTTTTCTTCAATGGCTTCCATTTTGGTCTTTATCCTTTTGCATAAAAATCTAAGTGAAACTTCCACTCTTGCACTCGCCTTACTGCTGACTTTCTCACAAAATCTGAAAGAAAAATGCAGTATAACTGAACAAAAGTGAAACATCATCTTGTAACACCACTATAATTGTATACTAAACTAATAATGAAATACTTAAATACTTATCCTGAGTAACACTTCCTATCGGTTGCACTTGGTAACACTGTTATTGAACACTGTAATATGAGCTGACATATGATGGTTACACCGGAACCAAAAGGTACACTGCCAACAAGGAAATGCTACACAGGATTAAAAAAACGCTGCCACCATCTGCCTTGACCATTGAGACTATATCAAGCAACGAGGCAAGAAACATTGCTTGACTTGGAGAGTACTTTCTATGACTGTCATTAATTATGGGACGGTTGTCAGCCACTATATCCAAACGGCTAAGAGGATTCAACAATTGACACAAACGGGAAATTTAACACGAGTTTATTGAGAACAAAATTATGCTAATCACCACTTATAAATCCTACTCTAACACTGGCCAATAGTTAAGAAATTTTGACATGGAACAAAACCTCAGAGATCACACACATTACCTTAAGACCTCTGTCTCTCCATCCGGTGGATTCACTCTGTCACTCCCTGCTGTGCGATGTTCTCCACAGCCGTCTCTCGACCCCGGTGTCCCGCACTCTGTCTCGACTAAGTCTCTACAGGACCTCTATATACAACCCCAACAGGGGGGACGGGGAGATTTGCTGTTGCTACCTACACCAAAAATACAAGGGGGTTGGGCTACACGTGCACAAACACTGAAGAATTTTCATTAAGCTTGTTTGACATTCACCATACACTGTTCAAGAGAGGAGTTATTAATTACGTGTGTGACTGACCTCTGACCTGGGCTAAAAGGGGGGATCTTGAGGTTATCTTGAGATGATTTCGGGGCTTTAGTGTCCCCGCGGCCCGGTCCTCGACCAGGCCTCCACCCCCAGGAAGCAGCCCGTGACGGCTGACTAACAACCAGGTACCTATTTTACTACTAGGTAACAGGGGCACAGGGTGAAAGAAACTTTGCCCATTGTTTCTCGCCGGCGCCTGGGATCGAACCCAGGACCACAGGATCACAAGTCCAGTGTGCTGTCCGCTCGGCCGACCGGCTCCGGAGGAGATCAGGGAGATCCATGGATGTTTACACATAAGAATCTGGGGTCTAATTCCATTGCAATGTTTGACAAGAGTATGATGAAATATTACATACTTGAAACTAGCTGACTAAGACTAAAACAGGAATTTTTTTAATCAACATACAAGGTAATCCGGAGGTCATCTGGGCTGATCTCTTGGAGAAGGCTTCCCTGGGTGTGAACTCTTGGGGATGGGGGTCATGGGTGTTACAATCTACTATATGAAAAACACTGACAAACACTACCTTGTTATAAAAATATTTAAAATATATTAACGATGTTTACAGTACAGAAACTGACAGACAATTGAACTGCTGGTTACTGAGAAAAGGGAAGAGTTAAAGGAGGCAGATAAGTTTTAGTTAAAGTATCACCAAACACAAAAGTATACTAAAACCTAATGTTCAGTCTAGGCATTTATAGCTTCATCAACTAGGCAATTCTATGGGTTTATTACCCTATATCTGATAATCTAGAAAGGGTATCTGCTACATGTCCATCCTGCTATGAGCTACAGAGGCACATACCCAACCTGCTATGAGCTACAGAGGCACATACCCAACCTGCTATGAGCTACAGAGGCACATACCCTTCCTGCTATGAGCTACAGAGGCACATACCCTTCCTGCTATGAGCTACAGAGGCACATACCCTTCCTGCTATGAGCTACAGAGGCACATACCCTTCCTGATATGAGCTACAGAGGCACATACCCTTCCTGCTATGAGCTACAGAGGCACATACCCTTCCTGCTATGAGGTACAGAGGCACATACCCTTCCTGCTATGAGCTACAGAGGCACATACCCTTCCTGCTATGAGGTACAGAGGTAAATACCCAACCTGCTATGAGCTACAGAGGCACATACCCAACCTACTATGAACTACAGAGGCACATACCCGTCTTGCTATGAGCTACAGAGGCACATACCCAACCTGCTATGAACTACAGAGGCACATACCCAACCTACTATGAACTACAGAGGCACATACCCAACCTGCTATGAGCTACAGAGGCACATACCCAACCTACTATGAACTACAGAGGCACATACCCAACCTACTATGAACTACAGAGGCACATACCCAACCTGCTATGAGCTACAGAGGCACATACCCAACCTACTATGAACTACAGAGGCACATACCCAACCTACTATGAACTACAGAGGCACATACCCAACCTGCTATGAGCTACAGAGGCACATACCCAACCTACTATGAACTACAGAGGCACATACCCAACCTACTATGAACTACAGAGGCACATACCCAACCTACTATGAACTACAGAGGCACATACCCGTCTAGCTATGAACTACAGAAGGAACATACCCAGCTTGCTGGGAGTTACAGTTTTTCATTAGTTAAGCACTGTAAACGGGTTATAGTAGTAGTCCCCGTGGTGTAGCTGTCTACCTCCCTGGTACCTATTTACTGTTAGGTGAACAGGGGTATTAAGGTAAAAATAAACTCTACCCATTTGTTTCCGCTGGGGATCGATCCCCGGACCCCTATGAATACTAACCCCGAGCGCTGTCCACTCAGCCGTCCGGCCCCCAAGCATCAGCAGTGAATGGGTTGTTAGGCCATTTAGCGGGTCGTATTTTGGGGAAAATTAGGATTAAGGACCTCCCCGAAACGCTATGCCTGCTAGTGGCTTTACAAGAATGTAAACACTCTTGTATATATAAATAATAATTATAATACATCAACAGGTTGCGTTGGGTTTAAACAGAATACGTCAACAGCACTACACATATGATGACAGGCATATGTCTACCCATTAAACCCGAGGTCAGATGCAGATTGATGATCTATAATAATACAATGTTATTTATATTATCCTGTTCTTACCATATTTATTTGTGATAGAAAGACAGCTACAGTCACCAGTGTCGTCGACCAAGGGGGCGGACGTCCACTAACTCCGGGTCATGTACCAGTCATCGCCAACTTAACCTGCTCTCTCTTAACCCATTCATTAAACACTTAACAATATTGATTAGCACTTAATATAATTGCAAATGTTATAATTATAAATTGTATTGATAGAAATTACTCTTTTGTAACAGATATTTTGTCGGAGTGTATGCGACTACCGGGACAAGTATCCAAAAAGGTCCCCAGGGGCAAACCTGTGACGTCACGCACCGCGCACATTTAATTCATTGTGATGGGGGACAGGCAGCCAGTTTATATATATACGGTATATGTTAGACCTATATTGAGGTCCCCCTCAGGGTCAGATGCAATAGATGATAAGAAACGCGTCCAACCATTTCTGTCCCGACTATATTTATTTATTTATTTATTTATTTATTTATTTATTTATATACAAGAAGGTACATTGGGTTTGTGAGGATACATAGCACAGTATTTACAATCTTGTAAAGCCACTAGTACGCGCAGCGTTTCGGGCAGGTCCTTAATCTAACAGATAATTTTAAGTAGGTAAATTCTAGCAGAATTAATAAAATGATAGCAGATACATTGCAAGAAAAAAATGAGATGAGAGAGATTAGTAAGTATATTAAAGCACATTGGTATATTAAAGCTCTGACTGATTACATTGACAACTTGATTGGTAATTTAAACAAGATTAATAGACACCATACAGCAGAAAAGAAATATAGTCCCGAAAATATATGAAATTGGGAAGAAGTTAAAATATCCAAAAACTTTCTTGGATGTCGCGTTTGGGCAAGCTAAAAGGACGTTTTATAAACCTACTTCTTATACTTCCCTGATATCCTTAAAAAAGCAAGAGTAACGCCAGTCCATAAAGGAGGCAATCCGGCAGACATAAACAATTATAGACCAATATCAAACCTACCCATACTATCAAAAATATTTGAAAAAAATATCTACAAACAGCTCTACTCCTACCCCGTAAAATTCGACATACTTAGCCCCTGTCAGTTTGGCTTCCGCTCCCAAAAGAGTACCAATGATGCAATTATTAGTCTCCTTGATATAATTTACTCAGCCCCTGACAAAAATGAGTTTCCGATTGGCCTCTTCATTGACCTGAGAAAGGCCTTTGATACTGTTAATCACAACTACCTCTTATGTAAACTCCATCATTATGGAATCCGAGGCCATGCCCTGGACTATATCTAATCCTATCTTAATGATAGACACCAATGAGTAGCCATCAATGATATAACCTCTCCCTCTCTACCAATAATCGTTGGAGTGCCACAGGGCAGCATCTTGGGACCTCTCCTATTTCTTATATACATCAATGATCTGCCTAATGTCTCTAACATTTTTAAACCTCTATTGTTTGCTGATGATACTACCCCTCATCTACTCAAACCCCAACCCACATACACTAAATAATGAATACTGAACTAAAAAAAAGTCCACTTATAGATGTCAACCAACAAACTAACACTTAACATAGAAAAGACTTACTACATCATATTTGGAAGCAAATCAACAAATGCAATTCAGTTTCAAATAGACAATGTTAACATTAGTAATAAAAACGATGGAGTTTCTTGGCCTATTCCTAGACAAGAGACTCAACTTCAGCACCCACATACAACACATAACTAAGAAAGTCTCTAAAACAGTTGGTATACTCTCCAAAGTCAGATATTATGTGCCTAACTCTACTCTCATCTCACTATATTATGCACTAATCTATCCCTATCTTAATTATGGTATCTGTGCATGGGGCTCAACCACAGCAAACCACCTCATGTCCATCATCACCCAGCAAAAATCTGCTATCAGAATAATAACAAATTCTGCTTTCAGACAACAACTCAGCTCCCTTGTTTAAATCCCTAAACATTCTAAACATAAACTCCCTTCACACATTCTCTTGTGTCAATTACATTTACAAAACCCTGTTCTTAAATGCAAACCCTGCTCTGAAACTCTCCCTGGACAGATGTAATAGGACCCATAATCACCACATCAGAAATAAATATCTCTTTGATATCCCCAGAAGGGAATGGAACTATCAGGGAAAGTGTTGTTGTTGTTATAGATTCAGCTATTTGGAACAAGTTCCAAGTAGCACGGGTTATGGTGAGCCCGTAGTGGACTTACCTGGCACAGGAGCGGTGCTGAATGTGCTGTGGGGAAAGTGCCAAGCCATTACGACTATATAGCACTGGGAAGGGGTCAGGATAAAGATTTGGGATGGGACGGGGGGGGGGGGGGAGATACAGTGCCCATCCACTTGGACGGTCGGGGATTGAACACCGCCCTGCATGCAGCGAGACCGTCGCTCTTCCGTCCAGCCCAAGTGGTTGGGTGAAATCCCCAGAGTCAAACTTAATCTGTGTAAACACTCTATGCAAATAAAGGGACCTAGCCTATGGAACTCACTCCCTAATGAATTGAAAAGCTGTCCAACTTTTGCGTCAAAACAAAACTAAAAAGTACCTAATTTCATCTTCATAGTTTTCTACCCTGTTGCTTTAAAATCGCACTGTATCTAGTGCTACCCAATCTCCCAATCTTTATGTATCTAATCCAAACAACTTTACCATTGCAATCATTGCTGTCTTCTTATATGCGCAATTAATTTGCTGTATGGTTCCTAATAATCTTGTCTAAATTACCAATCAAGCTGTCAATGCAATCAATCAGAGCTACCAATGTGCTTTAATATAACTACTAATCTCTCCCATCTCATTTTTCTTTTTTCTTGCAATGTATCTGTTATCATTTTATTAATTCTGATTGAATTTACCTACTTAAAATTATCTGTTAGATTAAGGACCTGCCCGGAACGCTGCGCGTACTAGTGGCTTTACAAGAATGTAAATACCATGCTATGTATCCTCACAAACCCAATGTACCTTCTTGTATATAAATTTATAAATAAATAAATAAATAAATAAATAAATAAATAAAAAAATAAATAAATAAATAAATAAATAAATAAATAAATAAATAAATAAATAAATACTCACAAGTCTAAACCGGAACTAAAAAACTCGCAAAATTTGTTCCAGCCTTGAAAAACCTTAATATTAACCCAGTGTTACAAAATAATAACACAGTTGGGTCCATTTTAATTAAGACCTCGCCTCGGTCTGTAGCAGGTTGTGTGTACTTCATACCTTACAATGAGTGTGCATTTGTTTACATTAGAAAAACTGGTAAATCAGTTTCCTCAGGTTTAAAACACCACTCTTATGCTAATCGAACAGACCAGCACTCTATTGCATTGTATTTACTTTCCAGTTTATGTGGTCATTCTATTGACTTCAGAGGGGCCAAATGTATTGTTAAACGTAAGGGTTTCGTTGAATGAAATTTGATTGAGTCGGCCCTGATCAAACAATGTAACAACAGCCTTAATGTTAGCCCTGGCATGTACAAATTAGACCCCCCATATAAGCTTCAATATAGCACCCAATGTAACATCCATTTAGTCAGTTTTTTATGGAGCTTTCCAACCGGCAACACTTTTAGTTTAAACGCCATTCTCCTGTGTTTTTTATAAGAGGGGTGCTACATAGCCTCCCTGGCTTGGTGCCTACTTTGATGAGAAGATAGAACATTTGTTCACTCTATTTAATCTTCCCCTCCTTTTTCTTCCCTTCTTTTTTTCTTCCCTTCATTTTTTTCCCCTTTTTCTTCTCTTTTTTTTCGTCCCCTTTTCTCCTTAAAAGTATGGTTTCATCCCCAGTTCCTGGTGGTCGGTGACCTGTCTCCCCCTGGGGGCTGACAATAAGATTTGCCCACCAAATATTTCCTCCCCCTCTGCATTATGGTATCTTCAGGCCACCAAATTAGACAGGTTTAATATCGCGGATGGAATCCACAGGGAAATAACAGTTCGGTTATATAGACTACGTCTAGGTTACAGATGCAACTGGGAAATTGGTGAGGCAGAGATTGGGAATGCATCTTCTGCCAAACAATCACAGAAAAGACAATAATTCACTATCTCCTGGAATGTGAAGCAACTAACTACCTTACAAGAGCTTTAAGAATCCTTGAATCTTGCAGTAACCACCTAGAAGTCATCAACACTGCCACTCTTCTGCTAAAAAAAAGACGTCCAGCAGCTGGACACCCTCATAAATACTGTCAAGCATTATCCTCCCTCGCGAAAGCAGCCACAAAGTAAGGACTGACGATATAAATGCGAGCTCAGCACACAGCTTATCCTTTCAAGACCAAGGATCACATTCTCTCCAAAAAATCTACCACTTAAGGGCTATTCATGCCCGTTGAACAGGAGGAACACTGAACCGTTTATGTTTAAATGTCTCACCAGGCAGGATGGTATTTCCGATACATATAGTAACAACACAACCTTAAACCATCAATCACCAAACCTATCAAGCACTACAACCATCATCCACCACGGCCATCAACATTAATCTAGAGAATATGTCTGATATTAAATCTGTTACAAGAGATGATGTGGACCAGATGTGAGAGACGTTGAAACTAAAGCACAGGTCTAGAATACCTCCATATTGGAATTCGTGGTATTCATATTAAAATACGTGGATTTTAAGATCCCACAATCTGTACATCATAATTATTTAGTAGTGACAGCAGGTGATTTTCATTGTTATTGTTAAAGGGAAAATTGCCAAAGTCCTT